CTGTCATAGAAAGAAAAATACCATATGATCTCACTCATATGTGGAATCTAATGAACAAAAATAAACTGATGAATAGAAACAGAGGCATGGATACATGGGACAGACTGACAGCTGGTAGGGGGGAGGGCACTGGGAGGACTGGATGAAAGAAGGTGAAGGCATTAGCCAAAGAATATGTATCTATAACCCGTAGACACAGGAAACAGTATGGTGATGGCCAGAGGGAAGAAGGGCAAAGAGGGGGGGTGAGAAGGAGGGAGGCAAATCTATGAAAACATTTTCCTATGTTTATGAAAATAAGTTTTTAAAAAGAATTATTATTTATCACTGCCAATGTTTGAAAACCATCCTATATAATAAAAGCCTAATATACTAAGTATCTGGTTGTCCATTCAACCAATCACAGCATAATATGCTAATGTTATGCTAAGGCCACTCAACTGATCACTATATGGGCACTGACCACCAGGGGGCAGTCAGCCAGTTGATCAGTCGCTATGACATGGACTGACCACCAGGGGCTCCAATTAATAGATTAGCTTGCTACTTGGATCCGGCCAATCGGGAATGAGTGAGACAGGCCAGACATGCCTGGAGCCCTCTCATGGTCCCTCCCCAACTGGTCAACCTCCCAGGTCCCTCCCAGCCCCAATTGTGCACTGGTGGGGGCCCTCAGCCTGGCCTACACCCTCTCACAATCTGGGACCCCTCAGGGGATGTCAGAGAGACAGTTTTGACCCAATCCTGCAAACCAGGCTGAGGGACCCCACTGGAACAAGAATTTGTGCACTGGGCCTCTAGTTCTTCATAAACTTGGACTGTTTTTTGTATTTGCTTAAAGTAAATGGGTAATTCTGTCCCTGTTTCTCTATCAGGGCCAAGAACTGATATTCTTTAAAACTAATTTTAACATAAACCCAGTAGTTGAGCATTGAGCTGTGATCAGAGGTCACAGTTGGATTCCCCTCAGAGGAGGCAGCTGATCAACAATTCTCTCTCATCATTGATGCTTCTGTCTCCCTCTCCCTTCCTCTCTGAAATCAATAAAATCATATTTTTTAAAAAAGAATTTAAAAATAATTTTAACTTAAAAGAACATTGAAAAGGATCAACTAAAATACTATATGACCATGGAGAAATGAAAATGGAGCCAGCAGAATTCACAGGAGAAATTAAAGATTTAAAATACATAATTAGATAAACAAAAAGCCACATTTCAGACTATAAAAACACAAAAGGTAGAATAATATAGAGGGCATAATTTTAAAAAGCTCCTATTGAAAAGAGAAATAGAAAATGGCAAAAAGAAAGACTATTAAAAAGGAGATAATACAGAAACCAAACACAGTATCTTCAACATATTCAGAATCTGTATTCCTAATTAGAAGACCAAAACAAATAAAACAGAGTATTTCTAGATTATTTTTTAAACACTTTCCTAAAATAAATGAAAAATTGAATTTCCTGATTAAGCCTGTACAATATTTCCCAGAAAAAATAAGTATGCAGAATGATCAGAACAAAGTTGTTTCTTGCAGCAGGATAAGCTATATATATAAAAAGCCAGTGTCTGGAATGCCATAAGGACCAGAATAGCAGGTCGCTATGACACCTACTGCAACCAGCCTCCCGCTGCCCCTCCCCGCAGCTGGCCATGCCCCTGATTGGCCTCTCCCATTCCAAATGACTCACAGCCCCTCAGCCCAGCCAGCCCCCCTCCAGGTCACGCCCCCTCCAGGTCACTCCCCCAATAGGCAGAGATGGCCAGCCAACCTCCTGTAGCCCCTCCCCCCACCGGGCCCCACCCCAGATCAGCCTCCCTATCCCAATCATGCTCCCAATGGGCCCCCACCACCCTGTTCGGCCTGTGGCCCCTCCCCCCAGCCAGCTCCACCCCTGATTGGTCCCCCCACTCTGATCAGAGGCAGGGTGGGCCAGCCAACCACCTATGGCTCCTCCCCCAGGCGACTAGCCCCCAATCAGCCCCTCCACCCCATTTAGAGGTGGAGCCAGCTGGCCCACAGCCTTTCCCCATGGCCAGCCATGCTCCCAGCTGGCCCCCCAATTGTGGGCAGGGCCCACTGACCCATCGCCTGCAGCCCCTCTCCCCAGCCAACCCAGCTCTGATTGGGCCAACCTTATACCATCTCCTCCTCCTGACAGGCCCAACCCTCATCCCCTGTGATTGCGAACAGGCCAACCAGACCCCACCTGTGCACGAATTTGTGCTCTGGGCCTCTAGTAAAAAATAAGAAATAAAAATCACCCTCCTTGGCCAGGTAATTTTGGAGCAGAAAAATCAAGCCATATGCCGAGGCAGAGAGAGGAGAAAAAAAAAAGTGTGTTTAATCTGGCCTATTTCTCCATAGCAACATTTAATGACAGAGGAAGGTAAAGGAACTTTTCCAGAATGCTAAAACCAAGGGGGGAAAAAAAGAATACGCAAAAAAAAAAAAAAAAAAAAAAAAAAAAAAAAAAGATTAAACCAAATGCCTAGCCCACTTGTTTTATGTTTATGGCAAAAGAAGACATTCTCAATTTTCTTCAGAATCTGGGATTCATGAGGCATTAATGAGTCCTTCTTTTAAAAACCTATAAAAATGTTTTAATAAAAACACATATATCCCAAAAGGATTGAATCAAAAGAAATAACTCAAGGCAGGGGAATACATGCTTTAAAAATGCTGGTAATGAGTACTGAATATATTTAGATATATAACATAAAATATTATATTTATTATTTAAGAAAAATGTGTTCACAGACTTTAATAATGTAAGTTATTAATTTTAAAAATTGTTTGCTTGTAGAGTGTATACATTTGCTAATATTCTTATCTTTCAGAAGAAGAGCCAAAGATGAAATTGCTAATTGACTGCCCTGCTTTCAAAGATGGTGGCGTCCATAACCACGTTTACTTCATTTTAGAAAGTGACAGCTGATACTAAAATTTACATTTGTAGATATTTTCTAAATATCATTCAGACAGAAATTCAGCATACCTTACTATCACTCTCATAAACTTGTGAGTAGTCTTTTATAGGTCAGGCCAAAGTAAGGAAATGACCAGAAAGAGTCATTAAATAAAATTAAACATTTTTATAAATTTAAAATACCTTATGCGGCCAATGAGAAAGAATGTGAGAAAAGCTACTATAACCAAAGCAGGGTGGTATTTGGAAAAGATTAAACACACAAATCAAAGAAATACAACAGAGCATTCAGAAGTAAACTGACAATAATGGTTAAACTAGAGGCCTGGTGCTTGAAAATTAATGCACTGGAGGGGTTTCCCTCAGCCTAGCCTGCCCCCTCTCACAGTCCAGGAGCCCTCAGGGGCAGGAGGCTCCCCATCACACCTTTGCTGCTGCCACTGTCAGCAGGTCCGACCAAGGCTTGCCATCCCGGTAGCTGGGGGACTGAGGGAACTGTGGGCTCTGGAGGCAGGCACACAGAGTGGCCAGGCCCACCTGGGGGCAGTCCCAGCCTTGCCTTGTGCCTGCCACCCTGGCAGGGCTGAGGGGACTGGGCACTGCCATCTTGTGGCTGTGGGCGCCACCATCTTTGAGGATGAGACAGTCTATTAGCATATATCCTCTTTATTAGATAGGATGAGCTTCAAAATGGTTCAAGGATGACTTAATAGGGAAAGTATAGTTTTTTCAACTAATGGTGCTGAAATAGTTGGATATCCATTGAAGGAAGAAAGGAAGGGAGGGAGGGAAGGAGAGAGGAAGGAGAAGAGAGAAAAAGAGAGACAGAGAGACAGAGAGAGAGAGAGACAGAGAGAGAGACAGAGAGAGAGAGAAAGGAAACAAACTTCAGTCCATATCTCACACCAAATACTAAATTACCTCAAAATAAATTATATGCCAAATGTAAAACCTGAAATTACAAAACTTCTAGAAGCAAATATAGGAGAAAATATTCATGGCACTGGGTGAAGCAAAGGATTTAAAATATGACATCAAAAATACAATCCACAAAATAAAAAGTTCACAAATTGGACTGTATCAAAATTGTAAACTTCTACTATCTACTATTTAGTAAATACTCAAGAAATAACAAAACAGTTTTGTATTTTTTCGATGACAGTTTACAATCAATATTATTTTGTATTAATTTTAGGTGTATAGCATACTAGTGGTTAGACAATGATATACTTTATGAAGTGTTTTCCCCAATACTTCCAGTACCCAATTGGCATCATACATAGTTATTACAATATTATTGATTATACTCCCTGTGCTGTACTTTACATCCCCATGACTATTCTATAACTACCAAGCTGTACTTGTCAATCCCTTCAACTAAAAATATATTTTTTAAAGGCTTTTTGGAATATTATTTGCATCAAAGTTTTCAAAGTGTAAATGTAATAATATTGAAAAGAAAAAGTAGGGTTCAGCATCCTCCAAAGTCTCTATTCTCTAACCTAGGGGTGTCGAACTCAATCAGAGAAGGGGCCAAAATCTAAAATCCAGCCTAAATCGCGGGCCGAATGGTTTTCTGAACAGTCATAAACTGTCATTGTGATGGAAACGCAGCGGAGTGCAGTGATGACAGCGCGGTGCGGGCCACATTGCAAGGCCTGGCGGGACGGATTTGGCCCTCGGGCCTTGTGTTTGACACATGTGCTCTAACCCTTTCAGAGTGGGAGGCTAAGCTAGCCACCCCGTATGCCTTAGTGAGTCTACTTGGCCCAGTCATGTGTTCATACACCTTCTAATGCATACCGTATTACTAACACAACTCTTACAGATACATGATCCACGTCTACTCAAACCTATTTCCATTGCAGGGGACTGAAACCCTAACCTAAAAGTAATTCATAAAAAAAGTAAAATCTCTGGTTAATGAAGTCCAGGGGGAGCTCTAACTTCACTTAGTGATGTTATCTGAACCAGGCCTTTCTTCATCTCCTGGTCTCCACCTAATACACAATGAATCAGAATCTCCAGACAAGACTCTGGACTCTTCTTTAAACAACAAAGCCTTCCCGGGCTGCTTGGTGCTTACCACAGGCTGTGTTCTTAGACTGACTGCACAGAAATAGGAGGCAGAGTAAACCCACCCAATATACATTTCAGCTCAGGCCCTTTGCCTGTTCTGTGTTGTGAATGGGGAGATACTAAGAAAGAAAGAAGTTTATCTCCGCAAGCTAATTACAAGCTTCTTACAGGCATGGACTTCTTTTGCACCATAATCATATTGGAAATTGGCTAGATGGGTATTAAACAGGTATTGTATAAAGTCTGGTAGATCTGAGGATGCTGTAACTTTATTCATATTGGCATCAAATGGCATTTAAAAAAATTTATATCCTTTTGGAAAATCTGGGCTAGTCAAAATACAGTTGTTGTCAAAACTTTTAAACAACTATACCCAAGTAGTATTATTGAATAAATCTGAGTTGGTAGACAAAAAGCCTCACACAGTATTCCAAAGAGCTCTGTTCTTGGCCCTACATTATTCCAAAAAATTTAAAACTTGGATACAGATATAGATAATAAATATCATACCTGCATCTAACAAAACTAGGATATGACAAAGGATAAAAATGTTCTTCTATAGCATGGCCACCTAAACATTACCATTAGTTCAGTTTTGGTGTACTTCTAGTCTTCACATTTTCCCTACTTTTTGTATATGTATTATTGGCTCCACTTTTCCCCTGAGCATCAAAGTTTTGGCTGCCAGCTTGTCTAGACTTACATCCTTACAACTCCAAAGCTAGTGGGAAGAAAAGCTTTCCTTTTCCAACAATTCAGAAAAAAAAGTACTGTCCTGATTTCCGTTGAACAAAACCAGATTTTGTGTCTGTTCCTAAGTGCCACTCACAACGGCCGACCAGACATGATGCTCTGGTTGGCCAACGCTGAGTTCCATAATCACCTAGTAACGTTGTCAGCCACAGCTGAGGCATACCAGAACGGAGTCCGGAGTCCGAATGGGAGAGGGTGGTCCCCTGGAAAAGTTGTCTGATGAGCTGCGAAACAACAAACCAAACAAGCCATAGTCTCTGCTCTCCAGGAGCTTGCATGCTACTCAGAAAAACAATGTTAACCGATCATTTCAATGGGAGGTGATCAGTGTTGTGGTAAAGGTTTATGGGATAGAGGGGCAAGTAACTTCAATCTGGAGAGGAGGCTCATGGCTAAGGAAGTTCTCAGAGGAAGATGATGCCTAAATCTAGAAAGATTCCTACGACTTTTCAAGGTGTTGCAGAGGGCTTTGGAATGGTATCAGGGTGCTCCCGGGCATCCTGGACTTACTTACAAGCCTTGATTCCCTTGAAGGTAGGAATCATGTCTTATCTTTGCCCCCCACCCCCTAGAATCTAACATGGTGTCTGGCATCTATTGGACACTTTGTAAGTGCTTGGTGAATGTATTCATATTCCTTTATTGTCTCTTCAACAAAAATTACGTGGGAATTTGCAAGGTCAATACTTAACCTCGTTGTTTAAAGAAGGAAACAGATGAGAGGTTAGGCCATCAAAATCACAGTGCCAGCTGACTGATGCACAGTAACCCTCACGGAGGTGGGGACATAGCCAAACCAAACTCCAGGCATGAAGAAGAACAGCACAAATCTTAGCCTCGTGTGAGTACAGCAGCAAAGTAAGAAATAAAGTAAGAGCTTTTCTGTGATGAGCAGTTCTTAGAAAGCCCAAAACATCAAATTTTCTTCTAATAATTTCAGATGTCAAGTGGTAACATTTTATTTTACCATGTCCTTGAATAAATAAGAATGAGGGTGGGGAGGAGAGACATGTTTGTTTGGGTGGGTTACTAAGCAACACCACACATGCAAGAGACTCCTTTTGAAGGTGGAATCTGTGGGAACAAATGGTTCTTCAGCTTATGCCTACTTCGTTGGTTTACACTGGAAAATAAAAGCAAAACAGGAAACAAATGGGGTATTGCAATAATACAGAAGTCACCCGTGTGCAGAATACTAAATATTAAAGAGACTAGGCTGTTTTTAAAATTGCCTTTTAAAATAGCTTTCTTGAGTGTCCACAGTGGCACTGAGACTAAAAGGCAGAGTTTGTATAGCATGTCCCCAGAAGAACCTAGTACACGGATAAAATAAAGCCAAATAGCACCCATACTATTATCTGTCCCACGTGGTACTTCAGTTCCTATAGATTATTAAAGTCTCTAATATGGCAGAATGATGTGGCAACCAGATTTAAAAAAAAATGAGTTTGTACATATCCTATCTAATAAGGGAAAACTCTGCATGAGAAACAGAGGTTTTTAAAATATTTTTATTGATTTCAAAGGGGAAGGAAGAAGAAGAGAGACAGAAACATCAATGATGAGAGAGAATCATTGATCAGTGGCTTCTTGCACACCCCTACTAAGGAGGGAACCCACAACCAGGGCATGTGCCCTTGACTGGAATGAAACCCAGGTCCCTTCAGTACACAGGCCAACACTCTATTCTCTGAGCCAAACCAGCTAGGGCAGAAATAGAGTTTTAAGATGAATATTAAAGGAAGTCTGTGGATACAGAAAGAAATTTACAGCCTCAAGGCTTGCTTCAACAAAACCTAGGAGCTCTGAAGAGAAAAAAAAAAGAAAAAAAAGTGTCAGGTAAAAGCACAAACGAAAACAAGAGCCAGAAAAATATCGAGAGTTATTTGCACTAGAAACATATTGGGTGGCTGGTGAAGGTTTTATAAAGACTAAGATTGAAATTAATAGTGAAACTCCTGAAATGTAAGGTTTAGAACACAATGGACCAAATTATACTACCCAAGTATTGCTGTGAATTTTTTAAAATCTCACGTCTTGCAATGATTTATAATTAAACTTGTGGGTAAGCACTCAACTAATTCTGAATTATGTATGTGTGGATATATGTTCAATCAACCTGACTTCTTTTCAAGAGAAAGATATAGTCTTAAGGAGAATCATTCAGGCTTTGTTTTAAGTAATTTACACTGTAAAAAAAAAAAACATTATTATTAATTGCAAAATGCTTTTTAACCTACCTCTGGGGCCTACCTTGATCTGACCCTATGTACCTTCCCCTCCCACACCAGTCTCTCTTCTCAACCCCCTCTTGTGTTGAAAGCCTTCACTACTGACCTGACACTAAATTATATTCTGCTGTCTACTTTTACTTAGACTAAGCATGTTATCGCTCCAATGAGATTATAACTCCCCAAAGGATCTGTCCAATTAGTGTTTTGTTTTGTTTAGTATATTCTAACTAAATTAATGATGCTATTTACTATGCACAGTAAAAGTGAAGAATTTGAACCCAAAAATTGATAGTAATTAAATTAATCTGCTTTATTCTATTATTCCTTGATATTATTGTTTTCTCATTCAGTATTCTCTTCCATAGGTCTATGGACTATAAACCTACTAGCAAAAAAATAGTAATAACAAACAAACAATAAACACACTAAGCAATAACCGGCTGTCTTCTAAACCTTGAACTACAGCAATCAAAAAGTCATTGGGAACAAATATCACAAACCTGAAAATATCATTTTTAGCAGTCACTTTGTTATAGCTCCACGTGGGCTTGAGCTCTTCCCAGGGCCTTTGGGCCCAGAGGTACGGTGCTGGTATGTAAAAGTTAAAAGGAACTCTACAAGAAGAATTAGGAAACCCTGTCCTTTGTCAAAGATTTAGCTGTGTGTGACTGAAAATGGTGGCACCTGATCAGATCCGTTCATTTCCTTGACAAATCCTCAGAGTTTTTCATTGACAGCGCTCTCTCCTAGTATGCCTGGTGCACAGTAGTTTCTCAAGAATTATGTTTGATGGCCCAGCTGGTGTGGCTCAGTGATTGAGCATCGACCTACGAACCAGCAGGTCATGCTAGGATTCCCTGTCAGGGAGAAGGCAAGAGGCAGCTGATCAATTATTCTCTCTCATCATTGATACTTCTATCTCTCTTTCTCCCTTCCTTTCTAAAATCAATAAAAACATATATATATATATATATATATATATATATATATATATATATTTTTTTTTTTTTTTTTTTTTTTTAAAGAGGAAATACTCGTCATGAAATCTTTTATGCTGGGCATGGAGCCTCTGTCCTCAAGAAGATCATACTTTGGTTGAGACAAAGACTTCCAAATGCTCAATTTTATCATTATTAAGAGATAAGAATTAGTAATAGCTAACACTTGAGTATTTACCATGTGCCAGGCACTATTCCACATGCCTTGCCTGAATTAATTCATTTATTTCTCCCAACAACCCTATGACCTGAACACTCTATTTCCATTTTTATAGGCTCAGGAAGAAAAACAATTTGCCCAAGGTCACACAGCACGACGTGGCAGGGCAGGCTCTGAATCAGCACTTGTAGGCACAAGTCGAAGAGTACGTCTGACTCAAGGACCACTGACGTTTCCAATGAAACACTAGAAACATGGGGCAGATGTTTCATGAAAGCCCATCCGTTTGGAACATCTTGGTGCTTCTAAAACTCAAGATGCCCCAGAATCCTCTGAGAAGATTCAGAATTTCAGCCTGAAATCCTGGAGATTCTGAACCAATAAGGTTAGAGTGGGGATCCAGAATCTACATTCTTAACAAGTGCGGCTGGTGAGGCTGATAACCTTGTGATCCCGTCTTTAAAGCACTAGATCTGTTTCCCAGCAGGACCCTTCGGCTCAGGTTCTGTGCTCTCTTTTCAGGCCCAGTGCTCTGCTGGCCATGTGTCGGCTCAGAACCCATGGACCACGCAGTCTGAGGTGCTGTACAGGGCCTCGGCATCTTTGGAGAGTCTGGATTACAGGCATCATAACCCTGACCTAGTTATTCGTGGTTTATTTGTCTGTCTCCTCATGTATGCAGGAGCTATTTCATATTCTGCTTCATATGCCCAGTGTGTAATTCAGTGCACAGGAAATGTCTTCAGGATGAACTGATGACCAGCATGAGCCATGCCTGTGCTCCAGACCCAGCAGCCCTGCCTTACACAGAAGACAGATACCTAGCAGGATCAGGAGATAGGTAGCCACAATTACCTAAATACACCTAGCATATTCTTGTATTCACAGGGAACCAACAAAGGATGTTGCAAGTGGTACGGGAGGGGAAACCATGCTAGAAAAGTAGGTGGGAAGTTGTTCTGAGCTCAATCAGCTTGTCTCCATCAATAGTCCATATGTTGAAGTCCTAACCCCAGCACTTCAGAATCAGACTGCAGATAGAGAGGGGTTTTTTTTTTGTTTGTTTGTCTTTAAGTAATTGAGTGTCTGGCTGGTGTGTCTCAGTGGTTGAGCATCCACCCATTAACCACGAGGTTACTGGTTCGATTCCAGGTCAGGGCACATACCTGGTTGCAGACTTGATACCCAGTGGGGGCCGTGCAGGAGGCAGCTGAACGATGTTTCTCTCTCATTGATGTTTCTATCTCTCCCTTTCTCTCTAAAATCAAACAATATACTTTTTTATACATACACACACATATACGTATATTTTAAGGTAATTGCATGAACATGAAGTCATAGGAAAGATGCTAATAGGACTCGTGTCCTATATGAAGAGGAGATTAAGACACTGACACAGAGAAAAGCCCATGTGAAAATAGTGGAGGAAAAACGCCCTCCCCAAGCCAAGGAAAGAGGCTTCAGGAGAAACTAATCCTGCCGACACCTTGATCTCAGACTTCCAGTACATACATTGTGAGGAAATACATTTCTGTCATTTAAGCCACCCAGTTGGCAGTACTAGCAGACAAATACAGGAGCCAATTATGAAAATTTACTAAGCCAAACTATGGAAATTAACTTTTATCCTTTAAGCTGTCAGAAGCCCTAGAAGTGTCTCGGCATCAAGGTGCCATGAGCAGCTTTGGTTCTGTAATATAATTTGGAAACAGTGGAGCCCCTGAAGTAGAGGATGGAGGTGGGATGGACAGACAGATACATTGTTCAGTGTGGAACAGAACAAGACCTAAGGGCCCTGGATTAAAACATTAGCAACCAGAATGAGAAAACAGAGGTCCTACGAGAGACATTTATGGGGCACAAGTAAGAAGATTTGGGGAAGATGAGGTGTGGGCTGAGAAGAGATAGGATATCCTGAAGTGGGTGGAGCTTGAAAAGTGGGGAGGACAACAATGCCTCAGATCCCTACTGGAAATGCATTAACTAGTTTGGAATAGGTTAAGTTTCAGACAGTTGCAGGGAATAGAGCTGAATGTGATTCGTGGAATGAGAATGAAGTTCTGGGCCTAGGTAGGGCCTGATGTGAGATTCTGTGACTCAGAGGCCAGTGCTGGCCCCTGTAGGGGTGTGGGGAATGAGCATCATAGATCTGAGAGTCCCAAGGCCCAATCCACAATGGATGGAGAGAGGAGCCAGCAGATTGAAGAAACGATCTAAAAAGAAACAGAAGACAGGAGAGGAGGGTCGTAAAAAGCCAAGAAAGTCAACATTGGTAGTTTGTTGATAGTTTTCAAAGGAAGCAAAGCTTTCTGTGCCCATGTTGCAGACCAGCTCAGGCTGGTTTCCCTACTTCACACCATCCTTTTCTCTCTCTCTCTCTCTCTCTCTCTCTCTCTCTCTCTCTCTCTCTCTCTCTCCCTCCCTCCCTCCCTCCCTCCCTCCCTCCCTCCTCCCTTCCTCTCTCCCTCTCTCCTCCACCACCTCCTCCACCCCCTAATTTGGTAAATCGAGACAGAAGTGGCTGGGCATATGTGGGAAGGGGGATGAGAATGAGGGGAATGAGGACAAATATGTGATACCTTAATCAATAAATTAAAAAAAAAGATATCTTTTTCTCAATTGAATATATTAAAATCATATTTCTTTTAAATATTATATTTTTAAAACATAGAAGAAGGAGGAGGAGGAGGAGAAGTAGAAGAAGTAGTAGTGGTAGTAGTAGTGGAAGTGGTAGTGGTGGTGGTGGCTGGGAGTTAATGGGGACCCAAGCATCCCAGCATGATCTCAGGGTCACGCCGGCAGTGACAGCTCCAGCAGCCCTTTTCCCACCGGCCTGCGGCGGGCGGGTGGGCGGGTGAGCGGCTCGGTCCCGCCCGGGCCTTTCACCCGAAAGGAATGCGGGGCGCGCTGGACTCCGGCGGCTCCGCTGGGAACGGGGCCCGGGCGCCGCTCGCCCTGCGCGCCGGCCTCGGGGGCGGCTCCCTCGCGCCTCCCCCGCCGCGCGCCCCGCCGCAGGGAGAGGAGAGGAGAGGCGGGCGAGGGGGAGGCGGCCGGAGCTCCGGGCGGGCGGGGGACGCGGGGCTGCGGGAGGCCGGGGGCGGGGAGCGGCGGGCGGCCCGGGAAGAAAGGAACATGGCTCCTGCGGCGGGCGGCCGCTCGGGGCGGAGGCGCTCGGGGCACCAGTGAGCGCGATGGTGAACGCGAGCCGCGTGCAGCCGCAGCCGCCGGGGGCCGCCCCGCAGCCGCCCGCGCCCCGAGCGCCGCGCCCGGGCCGGCCGGCGGCGGGCGGCGCGGCCGGGGGAGCCGGCCTGGCGGCCCCGGGCGGCCTCCGCGAGCCGCGGGGCCTGGAGATGGAGATGGAGCGCATCCGCCAGGCGGCCGCGCGGGACCCCCCGGCCGGCGCCTCGGCCTCGCCGTCCCCGCCGCTCTCGTCCTGCTCGCGGCAGGCGTGGAGCCGCGACAACCCGGGCTTCGAGGCCGAGGAGGACGAGGAGGAGGAGGAGGTGGAGGGGGAGGAAGGGGGAATGGTGGTGGAGATGGACGTGGAGTGGCGCCCGGGCAGCCGGCGGTCTGCCGCCTCCTCTGCCGTGAGCTCCGGGGGCGCCCGGGGCCGGGGACTCGGGGGCTACCCCGGCGCGGGCCACCCGAGCGGGCGGCGGCGGCGGCGAGAGGACCGGAGCCCCCCGAACCCCAGCCCGGCGGGCGGCGGGGACCCGCTGCATCGCCACCTCCCGCTGGACGGGCAGCCGCCGCGAGTGGCCTGGGCGGAGAGGCTGGTGCGCGGGCTGCGAGGTAAGAGCGCGCCGGGCTGCGGCCGATGCGCCCACCCACCCGCCGGGCGGGGGCCCCCGGGGCTGCTTTCGGGGGGGGGGGGGGGCGGCGCATCCATCCCCACCTCCCTCGCAAACACCTTCTCCGCTTCTGCCAACTCTGCTCTGTTTCCGGTACCCAGCGCCCGATTCCACTGTTCCCTTCCCTGTGCAAATGTATTGGATCCTCCTTCTTCCAGAGGGAAAAAATTGGAAATAAGTGAAAGCCATATTAAAGGGAAAGGATACATCTGAGGATATATATATATATATATATATATATATATATATATATATATATATATATATATATATAATTTTTTTTTTTTAACTGTAGAGGGGAAAATGAATAGTGGACCTAAGTGTGGTTACGCTGTGTCCTTGCTAATGTCACTAAATTAGAAGCGAAGTTCTGTATTGGTACCCACAGATCCGGATCCCTCCTTGCTGGTCATCCGGTCCTTGAAAGGGTAACAGCCCAGTCTTCCCCCAGCTGTGGGAGGAGTGTCGTTGGGTTGTCATTGATGTTGTTTTGATGTGTGTGTGGTTGTTTCTGGGAGTGGTGCTGTTGAGAACACCGCAGATCGAATAAAATAATATCTTTGAAAACAGTTACTTGACCATTTCTAATTCTAGGCATTTTCCTAAAACAGTTGTAAAAAAAAAGTTACATTGTTTAAAAACAAAAAAACAAAAAAACAATCTTGGAAGTATGTGTTTAAATAACTAAATTAATGTTCTTTGAAATTCCAACCAAACAGTGAAGTCACCAGATACCAGCTGTTTGTAAATGTGTTGGTTGTTCAGTGCACCCAGCTTAGACAGAAAAGGAATTTTCAAACTTGCCAGTGTCCATTAGGAGGACACACATTTTCCAAGAGCAGATGGGGATCCTTTTTATTTTGCAGTTTTGTCAGAGGCATCCTTGGAAAAAAGAGTTGCATTTGTTCTTACCATCCAAATTATTTTAATCTCCACTTTTAAGAGCTTCCATTCTCCCTTCTTTTGAAAAATTCCCTTCCCTTCTCTAATCTTTCTGTCAGTTTTGAAAATCTTGCACAAAAAAACCACCCAGGTGTTCTCATAAGAACATGATTAAGATCAAGTCAGACCTACATATAGACTCCACGCATTGGCTTCGTCGTGACCTTGAGCAAATTGCTAAACCTCTCTGATCCCCACCTTTTGCATTTATTGTTTAAAAGAGATAATCCTAATATTTAGTTCTTGACTTTGGAGGATTAAATGAGATGAGACGTGGGAAATGTTTAACAAGTCTCTCCCATTTTGTGAGTACTTCATAAATTAAATCAGAAATTCTAAAAAGTGTACATTTTTGCTACTTCTTTTACATTAGTGCTTTTGATAGTTAATTTGATTCAGAGCATGGTAGAAAAATGAAAGGTCCTTTTTTAATAACTGGTGTGATTATTAAAAAACTAATACGTTTTAAGGTTCAAATCTGTATTCAGACAAATTATATACAGTTGACCCTTAAACAAGCAGGAGGTTGGGGGAACTGACCTCTTATAACGACAGTCAGTCCTCTGCACGTGCCAAGTCCCAACCGCAGAGTTGACCCTTGAACAACTGGGTTTGGACCGGATTTTGAAAAAAATCCCAGTATAAGTGGACCTGCTCAGTTCAAATCCTTGTTGTTCAAGGGCCAACTGGATTATTTTACATTGTTGTAAACGTACTTTTAAAAATACTCACTGAAGTGAGAATAAAGTTTCTTATAAGTTAATATGTAACGGTAAATCATGATCCTTTTAACTCGAGTAAGCATTTGATAACACATTTAACCTTCTTTGAATAAATTAATGGAATATAATAAAATGAAAATATAGATATATTTATATGAGTGTATATATGAGTTAACTTCTTTTAAACAAAACTTTCAGAAAATGTACAGTGAATAAGCTCATATTTAAATCATATATTACCAATCAATGGTCTAATTAGGAGAGCAGGCTCAAAAAAATCTTATAGAAAATTTTAGGATAAGTGTTACTTTATGAAGAATGATGACTGGCATTCTTGTCACTTGTTAAATAAATGACATTTGTTAAATACTTAGCACCTACTGTGAAACTAATACTTGGCTAGGTGCTACAAAAAAGAAATAAACTAAAATAGCATATTACCATTTTCCTATACACAAACCCAGAAAAGTAAAATAAATAACCATGAATGAGTTTTTCTTTCCCTCTTGGGATACCAATGAAAAAAATCTCATATGCATTATGTAAGTAGTGCCGTAGGATCAGAACAGAAAGCAGCCTTCAATTTCTGAAGGTAGGAGAGGTTACTCAAGTTTGGAGTGGTCAGGAGCTTCCCTGGAGGTCTCCTGTCTTTGTGACTTTAGACAACTCACCCAGGCTTCCTGGGCCTCAGGTGCTTGATCATGAAATGGAAGAGTTTGCCCCGCGGACATGGCTCAGTGGTTGAGCATCAGCCTATAAACCAGGAGGTCATGGTTCGATTCCCAGGCAGGGCACATGCCTGGGTTGTGGGCTCGATCCCCAGTGTAGGGCATGCAGGAGGCAGTCGATCAATGATTCTCTGTCATCACCGATGTTTCTATCACTCTCTCCCTGTCCCTTCCTCTCTGAAGTCAATAAAAATATATTTTAATAAAATGGAAGAGTTCAACGTTTTAGCTTCAACATACCTTTGTGTTGTTTAATGACATGAATCCAAGATGGACAACAAATGGTCATTTTCCCTCCTGGAACAGTAGCCAGATCGATCTTCCTAGCAGAAGTAATATCATGGTAAAGAAGATATGTTTGAAGACTGGCTCTGGGAAACATTGAGCCTAACTAAGGAATTAAGAATTTATCTCTTAATATTCAGAAGTAGTTGAAAGTTTCTGAGCAAGAACAGAACTTGCTGCAAAGGACCATGAGTCAGGCAGTGTGCTGTGTGGGAGAGCTGTCAGAGGGAGGCAGAAAGATGGGGACCAGGGAAGAGGCAGCCAGGGCTAACGCGGTGCTGAGGGCCTGGACCGAAGGAAGTGAAGGATGGCTGAAAAATTTAAAGACTGCCCCAAACTTAGAGGTACCCCCAATGATCTTGTTTTCTTTTCATCTTAGCAAACTCTTTTCAGTGCAAAGATACAATTTGATACTCTACATGAACTATTCAATTTTCTGAATTTCCAACGTTGAATGTGTTTTCTGGGTAAATTTGTGTACCAACTTGTTAAAGTCATTTTCTGCTTATTATTTTAGAGATCTACTGGTATGCTTTTTTTCTTTTTTCTTTTTTGAGAAATCATAAAGTACTAGCTGTATTGGTTAGGGCAGGCTAAGCTGCTATAACAAGTAATACCTCCTTTCCCATTCACTATGTTGTCACATCACTATCCACTTCCAGAATTTTCTCATCATCCCAAACAGAAACTCTACCCTTCTATACTAATAAAAGGGTAATATGCTAATTAGACCTGATAGACTGGACATCTTCCGGTTGTCAGGTCCTCCTTCCAGACCAAGCCAAGGTGGTGGGGGCCAAGGCAGAGGCGGTTAGGGGCGATCAGGCCAGCAGGCAGAGGTGGTTAGGGGTGATCAGGCAGGCAGGCAGAGTGGTTAGGGGAGATTAGGCAGGCAGGTGAGCAGTTAGGAGCCAGCAGTCCCAGATTGCAAGACTGATGTCCAGGATTGGAGAGGGTGCAGGTCCGGCTAAGGAACCCCCCTTCACCCCCATGCATGAATTTCATGCACCAGGCCTCTAGTTCAGCAATAACTCCTCATCTTCCCTCCTCCTGCCCCTGCTAATCTCTATTCTACTTTTTGTCTCTGAATTTCAGTATTCAGGTTTTGGTGGAATCATACAGTGCTTGTCCTTTCATGTCTGGCTTATTCCCTTAGTACAGTGGTCGGCAAACCGTGGCTCTCGAGCCACATGCGGGCCCACACATATAGTGCGATTGAAACTTCATGGCCCATGCGAAAGTCGGTTTTTGGTTCTCAAAATAAATTTCAATCGTTGTACTGTTGATATTTGGCTCTGTTGACTAATGAGTTTGCCAACCACTACCTTAGTATAATGCTTTGAAGGTTTAACCATCCAAACTTCATTCCTTTTGATATCTAAATAATATTCTGTTGTATGTACCATATTTTGTTTTCATCTTTTGGCTATTGTGATTTTCTCTTTATTTTAATCTAAACCTCACTTCATCAATTTGTCCTTTTCCGTTTTTATTTGCATAAATGAGATTTTGTATTTTCATTGCTGTAAGGATTATTTTCTCTGGAGGGTTACTACTCTCTGATAAAGTTATGCTGGTAACAGAATTTATGCAGCCAACGTTTATGAAGAGTCTGCTTTGTGCTTGGTATTAAGGATACAGAGATGAATAATACAATAATCCAACTCAAGGAGCTCTGAGTTCAGTAAGGGAAACAGAGATGTAAGTAAATAATTGCAGTGGCAGGTTCCAGATGGGGGGGGGGGGGGGGGGGGACGCAAAGAGGAGAGGACCAGCTCAACCCAGAAAGGCCAGAGGAGGTGAAACAGGTTACACGTTATGTTTTGAAGGAAGGCAGGGGGCAGACGGGGACGGACAAGGGACAAATAGCAGAAGTAAGATCAAGCAAGCCAGTAGCTCTTGGATACTTTTTCTTGAGGACAATTAAAGCCAATGGGGGCTTCAGGCAATGGGCTGATATGATCACTTGTCAATCTAAAGATGATTCTAGCAAGAATGTAGAGAGTAGGGTAAAGTGGATAGCACTGTTTGCTGGGAGAACAGGTATGGAGTGGTCTAACCAAGACGATGATAAAAGGTACAACAAGGGCATGTGAACTGGATGGAAGGAAGTTAAATTAAATGGACAGAAACCATCAGAATTATGGACCACCTCCCCATGAGAGTTCAGAAAAGAGCCTGTTCTAGAGTGAAACCCATGTTCATGCTTGGTATCTTTAACCTAAACAGGTCAAATAGGTTTATAGGAAAAAAGAAAAATCCCAGTTGGAGCTACGTGAGCATGATTGTCTATGGAATCTGCAGGTCGGAACTGGGAGGAGCTGTGGCGTATACTTGTCTGCACCTCTGGAGAGGTTCAGGGGCCAATGTGATAGAAGGCAGCAACTGACTATTTGAAAAGTGGACCAATCGTAATACAAAGTCACTTCTCTTTCGGAAGGTGCCCCCATGATTCCAGTGAATATTAGGGAGGATTGTATTTATCTTTCTAAACAAGGCCCACATGGGCACAAAAACAGGATTCTTTTATTATATAAACTAGAGACCTGATGCAAGAAAATTTGTGCAAGAATAGGCCTTCCTTCTCCCAAGTGCCAGCACCAGCTTCCCTCAGACACCCGGACCCGGCTGGTTTCCCTCCTTTGGCTACTGGCAGGCACCCTGACCAGGCTGGTTTCCCTCCAGCCCCAACTTTGTCAGGAAGGACGACCAGAATGACGTCTGGAAGGCGTCCAGTCTAATTAGCATATTACCCTTTTATTATTATAGATGCCGTGAGCATTTAGTCAGACTGTTCAGAATGAACTCAAAGTCCATACCCCACTCTGACACTTAGGCTTTGGAAGGAGGGCATTTTATAGATAGACCTGTTTCTGGAGCATAGACAGGCCTGTCCCAACCACCACATGTTTTACACTTATTTCTCTTCCCAGAGCAATCCTGCAAAGAAGTACTGTTCTTCCATTTTCAGACGAGGAATTGGAGGCTCATGACATTAGGGAAGGCCTCAGCTCATGAGTGGCTGAGCCCTCATTTGAACACAACGCTGACTCCAAATCCCTACATTGTACCTTGTCATAATCAATAAAGTCATCGGCTTTGGTGTATTTCTGATGGGACAGGGTTAATGTGAGGCAAAAGATCCACACTGAATCTTTTCACCATGGAACTGTAATACTTACAGATGAAATGATAGGAAAGCTGGGATTAGGTTTAATAGAGAGGGATGGGTGAGGATTTAGAACAGGGATGGGGATCGCCAGCCGGTGGGCCGTACAGAGCCAGCGAAACCGTTTGTTCTGGCCCTGCCAAGGCATTAGGGGTGAGATACTAATTAAATGTTTGACCTAATATAGCAGGCTAATTTTTAAGTTGATCATTTTGTATGACTGGAGAATGATGTTATAAATATCTAAAGGGCCCTTGGCAGAAAAAAGGTCCCCCACACCTGGTATAGATGAATCAAGATTGGTGTTGAGTTGATAATAGTTGAAGCTGGGTGAGAGATACATTAGAGTTCATTAGATCATTCTCGCTGATATTTTTTTTATATATTGCAAGATAAAAAGAGTTTGGAAGTATTTGGATAAAATAAATGCAAAGATGGCTTTTTTTTCTCTCTCAAAAATCAGTTGTTTATGTTTGGCACATGCTTTGTGCTTTGCATTATCTATGTCTGAGTTCCTCCATATTCATATCAATGACACTGCACAAGGGAATAGACACTGTCTGAATGATGTGCTCCAACTTGGGGTTCTGCCATTAACTCAGCACCCTCTTAAACACATGTCCACCCCTCATGTCACGCTCTCCCTAACAGCTGCTGACACCTTATGTACTGGCCATGGGTGCCTGGAGTGCTGGACAGGCACTCCCTCCACAGTGGGGGGGCATTGTGGGAAAAGACAACAATTGAGTTTGAAGAGTGCTGTCATTTAGGATGTGAATGCCAAGTTTAACCATTCTTACTCTGTTAGCACTGTAAACATGGGAAGGAGGTGGCAACAGCCACTTTTTTTTTTCTTTTTCTTTTTGTGGATGCAGCCGTTTCTCATCCATCAGAATGTAAAGAGGTCCCTGGACCCTGAGAGAGATAGACCCAACCTTCACATCCAGTGGGGCAATTCATGAAATTTTTTTGAGGAGCTAGAGTCATTTATGAAAAGTAAATGCATAAAAAGATAATATATAAGAGCTTACTCGATAAATAAAAAGACTTTTTTTTTTTTTTTTTTTAAATGTTTCATCTAAGGGCTAGGCTGTGGTTGGCAAACTTCGGCTTTCGAGCCACATCCGGCTCTTTGGCCCCTTGAGTGTGGCTCTTCCACAGAATACCACGACCTGCTTTGAGGAAGCAGCGTTAGAAGAAGTTCAAGTTTTAAAAAATTTGGCTCTCAAAAGAAATTTCAATCGTTGTACAGTTGATATTTGGCTCTGTTGACTAATGAGTTTGCCGACCACTGGGCTAGGGCTTTCATTGCCATAGAGCATTGCAAGTTTCCTTTGAGTAAAATTTGAAAGGAGTTTGGTTTTTCTGTTTGCAGGTCAAGCAGTACGATTTGTAAATATTAAGAACCATGATTGTTCCTTAATGTGTAACTGTTTATAAACCATAGGAAAGAGTGAAATCACTGTCCCCTGGAGGCCAGGCCACAATCTTTCCTGATGATAAAGAGACTGACAGTCTCTACTTAAGTGTATATCTTGGCCTCCCAAGGAAATCTACCCAAAGAAACGGTGTGGTTGTGTCCAGGGCTACTGCGCCGAACAGTTGGCTGCCTCTGTGTTATTCCGAGTTGTAATTTTCCATGTCATATAAATTTGTAATAATTCTTTAATACGATAGTTTCAGCGAACAAACATTCTGCTTGCTGCATTTCTTCGGGGTGAGTAATTCCCTGACAACTACCAGATCTTGGCAGGAGTGAACCTGGTCATAAGTTATGCTCCACTTTCAGCGTGGTGAAATCTGTGATGCGTAACACAGTGTCTTTGAATTCAGACGCTGATTTTCCTAAAGGAAATTTGGGGGGGGGGGGGAATGAAAGGAAATGAAGTGCTCAAATTTAGGAGCAGAACTAATGTATTATTACAAGACTTAAGAATACATAAACACCAGCGATGAAGTCATTTCTTCGCAGTGGAAGGCCATACACCGTTTGTCCTCTGTTCTCTGTGTGGCTGGCTGGTGTGAACCCCAGGGACAGAAGGGGTTAAAGTCTGTGGAATAAAAGTGTAAGGCAGCCAGGGGCCAGGTTGGCTTCCATCAGCAGCCAGCCTAATCTAACTGGAAGGACTGGGGAGTCTGTCCTTTTTGGGAAAACATTTAAGGCTCTTCCGAGTAACCGGCAATGTGACTTGACCACATCATTCATTAATGAGGGGTTTGGACGGCCACCCCGGCTGTCTGCCAGCCCCAAACGGCAGTAACTCTCTCCAGCAAGCTCGCGGAGGTTATGTCATCTCTGCTCAGCCTGCCCAACACTTTTTCCATCTGCGAAAATATGGAACATGGTCGCTGATTTTACTCTCCAAAGAGAGAAGTCAGCTACGTTGTTGCTTTTTATTTGAAGCGTGTATGTTAATGGGCACATTAAAAATCTGTTAAACTAAGCATGTTTGGTGTAGTCGGTCACTACAGTTCCTTGAAAGGACAAAAGGCAGCCGAAACCGGTTTGGCTCAGTGGATAGAACATAGGCCTGTGGACTGAAGGGTCCCGGGTTCGATTCTGGTCAGGGGCATGTACCTTGGTTGCGGGCACATCCTTAGTAGGGGGTGTGCAGGAGGCAGCTGGTCTATGTTTCTCTCTCATCAATGTTTCTGACTCTCTATCCCTCTCCCTTCCTCTCTGTAAAAAAAATCAATTATATATATATATATATATATATATATATATATATATATATATTTTTTTTTTTTTTTTTTTTTTTTTTTTTTAAACAAAGGGCAGAAGGCAGAGATTTTAGGCCAGTGTGTTAGAAGCTTGATAGATGTTCCAATAAGGGAAATGATGCTCCAACCAGGACTTCTTTTCCTCAGGGGTGACTTAAGAGGTATCATTTGCAATGTAGTTTCCTCATGTACTAAGTTTTACCATATAGGAAGATCTGATGTACATGCAGTGACTTAATCTCTCTCGTAAGCTGCCCTCATTTCCTGTTGTCTGGCTAAATTTTTACAACGTACTCCTGCTAAAACAATTTCCCAGTTACATTCAGAGCATGCTAAAAAAAAAAAAAAATAGATGGGAGAGTCTCCCTTAAAGGTTATACTATCTATTTTATGTTTTTCCTTTGCCATTCATAAGGTTAAAAAGAAAAAGAAAAAAGACATCTTTTATTATTATTACTTTAAAGGTCTCTGGGGAACAAGACTTATGGAGGAAAGCAACACGAACCGAGAGAAGTACCTGAAAAGCGTTTTGCGGGAGCTGGCCACCTACCTCCTCTTTCTCATCGTCCTGTGTGTCTGTGAGTAGAACGTTTCCTTCCAGTGGAGGAAAAGGTTTGGGAGTGTTTGACCCGTCAAAACCGTAGTTAAAAGGAATCGTCTATGCACCACAAGGGTTAATTTAGAAGGTCCTCTGCTCTGTTTTCAATTCCAATTTAGAACTTGGTAAAACTCTCTTCTCTCTTCTCCAGTAAACATTAATTAAAATTCAGCGTTATCTGATTGGCCAGTTCATTGCCAGTGCTGACCATTTTCACGCTGAGAAGCAAGTGGTAACCTGCCACCATACAAAGAAACCAAGTAAAAGGGTTTTTTTGCATTAGATTTCTTAACAATAATTAGAAAAATGACTTCCCTAATGTAACTTTCAGAAACTACAATGTCACCTAATATTGCTTTTATGGGCATATGTAATATAGTCCCTTCCTTTCATATTTAGATGTGAGGTGTGAATGCCTTCATTCTTCAGTAATCACCAGATTTTTACTCTACAGGAAACTTACTGCAGACCAATCTCTGTATTTTTCCTCTCTTCTTTCAATATATCCCCGCATCCTCTGCGAGGGGATGGGAGGGAAGCCTTAGCCAGAAGTGAGTCTTAGAAACCATTTGTCTCAAAGTGCCGGTCAATGGATTTATCCTTTGAATTTAAAGAGTGTTGGGTGATAGAGTTCTGTAGCTCTAAAGCCCTTTATGAGAACAGATAAGGAAACGGATTTGTGACCACCAGAACCTCTTATGTATTCCTCCAGAAAAAGAGTTCATTTTTATAGGGTACACTTGGAAATGCTTAAAAATTCGCACCAACCTTAGAAAGAGACCCTTTCTATTTAAATGGAAAGAATAAAAATGTAATCAGTACTTGGATAATGCCATTCAGATTACATTAAAATTGACCCCCTTGAATGTAATTGACTGGATGCTGAAAGCTTCCTTAAAAACAATTATTATTTACTAGATTAAAAAAAAATAGAAAGATTTGTGAGTTGAACATAAAAGTTAAAGAAACATCAAAATTTCAATATTTATAATTTTAAGAAATTGAATATTGATTTATTTCATATCTCCACACTGATTCTTACTAATACTAGTAAGCTCTTATTGAGCTTTAGCTGGGGATGACTTCTTACATTTTCTGAAACTTTGCCCATCCAATTGGGAATTTAAGATAAAATAAGTTATTAAGCTAAAAAGTATGTCTATATGAACAACATCCATCTATCTAATACGTCTTCTTGTTGGTTTTTTTCTTACTAATTATTAGTTATTTGTTAGGAAGGAGTGTCTTATTACTTTTTTAAAATCTTTATTGTTGAAAATATTACATATGTTCCCTTTTTTCCCATTTACCCCCATATAGCCCACCCCCAGATTCCCACCCCAGGCTTTCACCACCTTATTATCTGTGTCCATGGATTATGCATATATGCATACAAGATCTTTGGTTGATCTCTTCCCACCCACCCACTCACCTTCCCTGTGAGATTCCACAGTCTGTTCCATGCTCCTATGTCTCTAAATCTATTTTGTTCAACTGTTTATTTTGTTCATTAGATTCCACATATGAGTGAGATCATGTGATACTTGTCTTTCTCTGACTCGCTTATTTCACTTAGCACAGTACTCTCCAGGTCCCCCTCCCCCCATGCTGTCTCAAAGGGTAAGAGATTCTTCTTTTTTACTGCTGCATAGTATTCCACGGTAAAAATATACAACAGGTTTTTTATGCATTCATCTACTGCTGGGCACTTGGGCTATTTCCAGATCTTAGCTATTGTAAATTGTGCTCCTATGAACACAGGGGTACAGGGGTGCATATATTCTTTCTGATTGGTGCTTAAGGTTTCTTAGAATATATTCCTAGAAGTGGAATCACTGGGTCAAATGGCAGTTTCATATTTAATTTTTCGAGGAAACCCTCACTAGGACTTGTTCTTTGTTGATGGTAGCCATTCTGACAAGTGTAAGGTCATAACTCATTGTTTTAATTTGTATCTCTCTGATGATCAGTGACTTTGACTATTTTTTCATAGGTCTTGTGACCTTTGGAGAAGCGTCCATTTAAGTCTTTTGCTCATTTTTTAATTGGATTGTTTGTCTTCCTTTTGATAAGTTGTATGAGTTCCTTATATATTTTGAATATTAACCCTTTATCAGATGTATCACTGTCAAATATGGTCTCCCATACAGTGGGCTCCCTTTTTGTTTTGTTGATGGCTTCTTTTGCTATGGAGAAGCTTTTTATTTTGATGTAGTTCCATTTCTCTCGCTCGCTTTCTTTCCCTCTCTCTCTCTCTCTCTCTCTCTCTCTCTCTCTCTCTCTCTCTTTCTTCTCATACAGCAGTCCCTTTAGCATTTCTTGCAGTGCTGGTTTGGTGGTGACAAACTCCTTTAGTTCCCCCCCCAACACACACACACACCCTTTTTTTTTTTTTCTGGGAAGCTCTTTATTTCACCATCTATTTTGAATGATATCCTTGCTGGATATCGTAATCCTGGTTTCAGAATCTTGCTTTTCTTTATCTTGAATGCTTCATGCCATTCCCTTCTGGCTTATAGAGTTTCTGATGAAAAATCGGCTGACAGCCTTATGGGTGCTCCTTTGTTGGTAACAAATTGCTTTTTCTCTTGCTGCCTTTAAGATTCTCTCTTTGTCTTTAATTTGGGGCGTTTTAATTATGATGTGTCTAGGCATAAGCCCATTTGGGTTCTTCTTGCTTGGGACTCTCTGTACCTCCTGAACTTGCATAACTTTGCATATGCATGAGATCATGTGATATTAGTCTTTCTCTGACTCTCTTATTTCACTTAGCATAATACTCTCCAAGTCCTTCCAGGTTAGGGAAGTTTTCTGCCATTATTTCTTCAAACATGTTCTCTATCCCTTGTTCACTTTCTTCGCCTTATGGCACACCTATTATGTTTCATATTGTCCCACAGCTAAGCTGGCCTCCTATTTTTTAATCATTTCTTATTTTTGGTTCTTGGATTAAGTGATTTTTTTTCTACCCTGTCTTCTAATTCACTGATCCAACCTTCAGCTTCCCCTAATCTTCTGTGTACTCCTTCCACTGTGTTCTTTATTAGTGCTATGCCATTCTTCATAGTTACTGTATCTTTTCTCAAGCTGTTGAGCATCTTTGTCATCATTATTTTGAACATTATGTCTGATAAATGTCTTATCTCCATTTCATTTATCTCTTCTTCTGGAGAATTATCTTGTTCTTTCATTTGGGGCTGGTCTTCTTGTCTTTCAATTTTTGCTGTTTGTCTGGGTCTGAGTCTGTGTATTAGGTAAATCTGCTACAACTCCCAATCTCTAGTACAGGATAATGTCAAACACTGTTTGTGACTGGTTGTGAGTACTCTTGTTTTGGAGCTATCAGCAATCCATAGCTTGTGGCTCCCTCTGCTGGGGCTATATTCCTTTGGAAAGGATCAAGGTGTGCACCAGCATCTGCTTTTCCTAGCCCCAGGCCTCAGATTACATCAGGCAAAAACTCAAAGCCTCCAGAAACCCTGCCTGCCCTCTCATTGACACTCAGTTCTTATTAGCCTCAGGCTATTGACCACAAGGTGGGGCAAGAGGTCTTCCCACAGCCTTCCCCCCAGGCAAATATCGCCTGGATAGCAAGGCTCACTGGAGAAAGATGTCCTCTACAGAGTGAGAGATTAACTCAGCATGGGAAACTGGGCTGGCTGCCCTCTGAGCTCCAATTCCAGAGCCCCCAAACCTGGCTTCTGCTCACACAGCTGCTGTCCACTCTGCCCTCCCTCTTCCAGAGCCCAAGGTGAGTGGCTGCATATGAAATTTTGTATGTTGTTCTTTAAGAGGGTGCCTGCATTTCCATCCATCTCTCACTGGCAGGCAGATAGCAGCCCTGCCGCTTTTCACAGTCAGATGTTATGTGACTACAGACACACGCCATGTGGATTAGGCATGTTTCCTGCTCCCATGGATGCTTGACATGGACTTTTGTTTAGGTCGCTATTCTCCACTCCTCTCTTTTAATAATCTAAATTTTCTGTGATGCTCAGGTGGAAAAGGAATTATGTGAGAGAGAGATTTTACTAAATATCATTTAATCCCAAATCATTTAAAACAAGGTTTTAAATGCATTTTATGAAGCTTGAGGTTATTATAAAATTAGCTAAGCATTATTCATCGGCTGGGTGTTGAGAACTGTGGTCAAAAGAAGTATAAAATGTGTTTCCTCTGGAAGCTTTGTGTCTGCTATTTATAGGAATTATAGCATATTACACCTGCAATCATCAGAGTCCAGAATAAGATAGTATTCATTGAAGTGCTGACAGTTTTAATAGATATGTTATAACAATCTGATTAGGGAGGATGAACCACCATTATTGGACTGAATTAGATAATTTTTAGTTATTATTTTTATTGAAGCACCAAAAAATCCTGTGGAATAGCTCATTGAGAACTTAAGCTCAGAAAGTTTTAGCAACTTGCCAGGTTACATAGCAAGTAAGAGGCACAACCAAGATTCAAACCCTGATCTGTGGCCTGCTAAGCCTGTAAGTTACCCTCCCACCTTCCTCCAGGACTTTTCAGAATGGGCTGGTAAAATCAGCCAGCCCTCGTGGCCAGGATGGAGCTTGAGTTTAGAGGGTTTCAAACAAGATTTGATAGGTGGGAGCTAGATGTGGCTGTCCCTGTCAGCAACCTGAAGGGGCAGAGGTGAAAACCTTGAAGTGGTGACTAGAGAGTTTAGTGAAGGGACTGTTTGTAGAGGTGTGGCAGAGTGGTGGAGAAGAACAAGGAGACGTGGGGCACTGAGGAGAAGGGGAGGGAATGGCATGGCAGGAACCTAGTGTGGCTGTGGGAAAAGAATTTCCCCAGGAGCCATGGCCGAGCTTCGAGAGTCGCCTGACAGACTTCATCCAGGTGGGGAGGGGATGGAGAGGAGGGGAGGAGGGGAGACATTCTCTCCCTCCAAACCTGTTCAGCCCCGTATTGGCCAGGGACCCAGTGTGGCACGGTCTATGGGGGTCAGCCCCGGGGCACTCACAGAGCAGGGCAGGAAGAATGGAGAGCTGACCTGGAGACAAGCAGACACGGCCTGCCCGCGTTCTTGCCGGGAGAGTCCGTGGCACGTGCGCAGCCGTGGGCCGAGCTCGGCGTGGCCTCTGCGGGGACCTGGGCAGATGAGCGTCCCAGAAGCGCTGAGAGATGAAGGCGAAGAGGCAGGCTGGAATTCCCAAATGTCAAATAGAAGCGCCTGATCTTAATTCAGTGCCCAGGACTCAGCCAGTTTTGTTTTCCACGTGTCAACGTTAGTTTCTTTCTTTTCTAAACCTGGGATCCAGGGAGTGCCCCAGAATGAGAGGGAAGGGGACGAGGGTGTGTACCGCCCACCAGGAGCGTGGGAGCCAGGCAGCTCACTGGGCTCTCTCTGTGTTGCAGTGACCTACGGGATGATGAGCTCCAGTGTGTACTACTACACACGCGTCATGTCACAGCTCTTCCTCGACACCCCCGTGTCCAAGGCGGAGAAAACCAACTTTAAAACGCTTTCTTCAGTGGAAGACTTCTGGAAGGTATTTACCAATGGCTTTGAAAGTTCCTCTCTGTCCCTGGTAATTGTTCATTTAGTTCATAAGTGAAAGCAGCCTTTGCAGGGCCTGCCACGCGGGTGGCTAGAAGGATGTAGCCTCGCATCACACTGTTTCATATCTTAACGTATCTAATCGCCATAGTAGCCATACAAGGTAAGTACTAACGTTCCCCAGGTTGTAAACGAATCTCCGTTTGGTTCAGGTGAATTTCCCATAGCCGGGGAGTAAGAAACGTACACGCTTTATTTTAGCCTGAAGGGCACTTCTTCACCAGGCTTATCATTCATGCAGTCGTTCATGATCCAGTAACTATCTGTTGAGTATCTCTTAGGATATAAGGCCCATGGTGTAAAATTTAGTTGCTTTTTCTTGCTCTTTGTGTGTGTATGTGTGTGTCTTTGTTGATGATGGCAAGTACCCTAGACCAGTGCCTGCAGGCACATTCTTTCAAAGATCTCTAAAGTAAAATTAAACCCAGCCCTTCCCAAATTGTCACAGATTCCAGTGTGGTGGAAGAGGATAAGCAAGGAATGATACCATAGGGGAAGCATCCAAGTAATCTGGAAGATACAGGGCTCAGAATGTACAGAAATTGTGCGTGAGGGGGCAGTACAGGATTGGGAAGAAAATGATTATTTCTTCCTGAGGAGATACTATCTAAAATCCTTATAAAAACCCGGGGATCAGAGCTGTTTATTTTAATAAAGATAGAGGAAACTGGATCACAGGAACCTGTTTTAAATCCTGAAAATATTTGGCATCCAAAACCACACTTGCGTAATACGAATATTTTCCTAGGCAAATCAGTTTATCTCTGTTGATCATCAGATAAGACACTGGGAATGGGTAGATGTCTTTCCGATAAGCAAATTAATAAGAAACATCTCACAGATCACAGAATTCAAGGATAATAAATGCTAAGCTCTAAAAAAAAAAAAAAAAAAAAGCAGCGTTGGGCAGGGTTGAAGAGTTCACCATTTAGAAAATGATCCAAACAATTAAAAGATCCACCAGATGGCAGAATAGTAATCAAAACTATAGTCTTTTCCTTTCCAAACACGTTTTGAAGCATGGTGATTAATTATTAACTTTTAATCAGGGAAAGTGAAGTTGATCATGGCTGTGGATTTATGTAAACAGTTCCCTCCACACCCTCCACCTTCAGTCCTAAAGCAAAAATCAGAGTTTTCGTTTAGTAAGCACCCACTGTGTACCTATGGTTCTGTGGAATGCTGCAGAGAAAATTAGCATGGCCCTACACAAGGATGACACTCAAATTTGTGAGGTGTTCTGTGTTTTTTTTTTAAAAAGAAATGTACTGTTTATTACTCATTTGAAATATCACTTGCAATTTTAAAATTAAAGCTTTCAACAATAGCACCCTAGCAATTAGGTGGCAGCAAACAAAACACTGCCAAAAACAAATATTTTGAAAAGCATTTACAGAAACGCATTGCACAAAATTCATCTTTATATTACTACCCCAACTCTCAGATTTAGTTGTATATAGAAAAATTTAATTTATATATTTATCCTATAATATATGAAACATCTGTATACACTTATCCATTTTAAGCATTAATTCCAATTCTATCAAGACTGAAAAAGTATACTATTTAATGTAGCTTTTATATATTTGAAGACTATTGTTTAATATGCATATAACATCAGAAAACCAGTCAACCTGTGTTTTATCTTTTTCTGAAAATACATTTATGGTACACAGAAAAAGGTCTTAACCCAATAAAACTTAAAATTTTAAAACTTAAAAAAAAAATTTAAGTTCAAACATCTGTAACACTGTAAGTGCCTTGAATATATCTCATTTATAAAGCCTGATAAGGAAAATAGTCTATATATTAAATATTAACTATAGCCAAAGTGATTCTCACAGGAATCTAGTGAGAATGGCCAATAGTCATAATAAAAGGCAAATCCCATCTAAAGCCAGTAAAAAGTGTTGCCATAAGAAAAATTATAATCATAAAATGTAATGGTTTCATGGATTTACCTCACTGGACACTTTCATTTGATAACCATTTGTGGAATAAAAACATAAACCTCCAAAACCTAGAACAAAACCTAAAAATATGAAAAGATTGGATTTATTGGTTCCTGTTTATTCTGTGAAGTGAAAACTGCAGGGTAATCCCTATGGGTTAAGCCTCTTTGGGATCTGAACCTTATATTTGTATGTTTGTTGAGAGCCAGACCGTCCCCTTTCAAATCGATGTAGTGACTATACAAAAGATGTCCATTGCCCTACCTGGTTTGGCCGAATGGATAGAACTTCAGCCTGCGGAGCAAAGGGTCCTGGGTTCGATTCTGGTCAAGGGCACATACCTTGATTGCAGGCTCCTCCCCCTTCCGGGCTCTGTTTCTCTCAAATCGGTGTTTTTCTCTGTCTCTCTTTCTTTTCTACTCTCCCTGAAAATCAATGAGAAAGTATCCCTGGATAAGTATTAACAAAAATGAAATAATAATTTTAAAAGAAAATAAAAAAGATGTACTTACCAGTGCAAGAGCCCAGGAACCCAGGCCTCCCAACTAGCAAATGATGGAGTAAAATCCAACTTAAATCCCTCTGACAGCAAAACCTACCCTTGTCACTCTGCTGTGTTCACAGAGTACCACACTGTTGGTCATGCACACATTCCGGGAAGGAGCAAGGCAGCCACGGAGCTTGGAGCTTTTCAAAAATGTTCCCTGTGCTTTCAGTTCACAGAAGGCGCCTTATTGGATGGGCTGTACTGGAAGACACAGCCCGGCGACGGGACTGAAGCTGACAACCGAAGCTTCATCTACTACGAGAACCTCCTGTTAGGGGTGCCACGGATACGGCAACTCAAAGTCAGGAATGGATCCTGTTCTATCCCCCAGGACTTGAGAGATGAGATTAAAGAGTGCTATGATGTCTACTCTGTCAGTAGTGAAGACAGGGCTCCATTTGGTCCAAGGAATGGAACCGCGTAAGTGTTTCTGGCTCATGGCCGTGTGCCCTGGCCTCTCACCGACATTCATTCATTCTTCATTTGTTCATTCGTTCATTTGCTCATTCATTCATTCATTCATTCTCTAACTCCTTCACCTAAGAAGATGCCCTAACAAACTCTTCAATGTGTATATTTAAGGTTGTGGCCAAACTAACCTTTGATTTCTCTACTTTTTACCCCCTTTCGGCTTCGAAATAATATTTTTCAAAAGGCTAAATCTCTGACCATATGGTTTATGAGAAAGAAGCTACTGGGCCTTTGGCAGTTTCTGATGAGATGCCTGGATCTTATTTTTATAGAGCCAGTAGTATCATCCGCTGCGTTATTTCTAGGAAATTTTCTGGTGTAGAAGTGTTTTTTTTTTTTATGAGTGCTTACAAATCAATGTTTGTTCAGAATGCAATTATTTAAAATGGGTAATAAGCCTGTGAGGCAGTTTTTCTGTCTTCTCAAATGTGTTTATGATTTTGAATGTATATTTGTAATGTGTATATTTACAGGGAATTTATTTGGTGTGCTCTTTGGCAAACGTAATTAAAACATCTTGTGTATTAAGGACATTCATTATTTTTAGAATTACTGTAGTGATCATAAAGAAATGAGGCCCAGCCAGTGTGGCTTGATGGTTGGGTGTCAACCCATGAGCCAGGAGGTTGCTGGTTTGATTCAGTCAGGGCACATGCCTAGGTTTCAAGCTCAATCCCTAGTGGGAGACGTACAGAAGGCAGCCAGGCAATGATTTTTCTCTCTCCTAGGTATTTCTATCTCTCTCTTTCTCTCTCTCTCAAAGTCAATAAAAGTGAAATGTATTTAAACCTTAGCCAAAACTGGTTTGGCTCAGTGGATAGAGCGTCGGTCTGTGGACTGAAAGATCTCAGGTTCGATTCCGGTCAAGGGCATGTACCTTGGTTGCGGGCATATCCCTGGTAGGGGGTGTGCAGGAGGCAGCTGGTCAATGTTTCTCTCTCATCGATGTTTCTAGCTTTCTATTCCTCTCCCTTCCTCTCTGTAAAAAATCAATAAAATATATTTAAACCTTAAAGAAAAGAAAAGAAACGAGAACTCTCAGGGTTTCCCAAGCTGGGCCTCTGGGGTCACTGACCTGGGTGAATTACTGTGGTGAGAACTGCCATCTTAGCTTTTCTAAGCTAATTCTGACCATTCATCTAGACCCCTTTTCTGGAAACTGAGGCTCCTAGAATCCAGATTTGTTCATACACAGTGGGGGTAAAAACACCTTTTCTGTGATCATATTCTTTGTCATTTAATGCACACCCTGCTTAATATCAGGGTCCACAAGAAATTAGTAAAAATCAGAGATTTAGAGTAAAGGGACTAAATTCAAAAGACTTTTTTATGATAGTGATTTCCCTTTCCAAAGCTCCTTTTTCTAGTTCCTGCGAAGCATAAATGTGCCCTTAAGCTATGGTACCGTTTCCATTATTTAACTAGACCTCATGTCATAAATAAGAGAAACATGTGCAACCAGGACTCCATGCCAGATGCTATTTAAGAAATGGTTTTATGACTCTTCACAAAGCAACTCTGAAATAGGGATCATCTCCATTGTACAGATGAACAAACAGGCTCGCTTACCCAAAGGGCCACAGCTAGTAAATGGCACCACGCTGGGTTTTAACCAGCCTGACCAAAGCCTGTGTTTTCTTCCTTCATGTCAGTATTATTGTTAAGGTGGCTTCTTGCCGCCTGCAGCTCCTCATCTGTCTTCATCTTCTTAGAGGCAAGGACTCTGTTTTGTTCACTGCTGTATTTTTAAACCCTTCAATAGTGCCTGGACTGGAAAGATGCTCAGTAAGTGCCTACTGGATGCATGGATGTGTAAGGGATTTCCACTAAGTGTGGACTCCTGAAGTGGATCTTTCTTGTTGTACCTAAGTTGCCCCTTGATCCTGCCAGATTCTCAGGTTACTCCCATTTCTCCTTCCCTTCAACTCTAGACTTCCTAAAGAATAGTCTTCACTGCCACCTCCACTTCTTTAGTATTGAGTCACCCCTCAAAGCTCAAAACCCTTCTTTTGAGATCTCTCTTGGAAGCCACCAATGACCTCTAGTTAACAAATCCACTGATCAGTTCTCAGTCTTCATCCTGGTCAACCTCTCTGCGGAGTAGGCCAGTGTTGATAACTTGTTCTTTTGACTTCTGTGAGTGACACTGAACTTGGGCTCTCTTAATTCTGTAACCCCTCCTTTTCTCCCCTGTTCTGTCTTACTCCAAGGTTCTATATTCAGATTTGTCTTTTCTTTCTGTATACTCTTTCTTTATATTCTTTCCCTTGAAATTCAGATGGTTTGCACTCTCATCTCTATTTGATGATTCATCATCTCTTCAACACATACGCTGTCACCATGTGTCTCGCATGTTCCAGGTGAGGTCTTCCTTTTCTAACAATGCCCCGGAGTAGCAGCAGTAAACAAAACAGAATCAAATGCCCTGTCTTCACAGAGCTTACATTCTAGGGACAGAGACAAATCTATATTCTTTTATATGTCCCACCAGCTGCTATAGTTCAATATGCCCCAAACTGAACTCATCCCTTTCTTACTAGATTTGCTCTTCCTCCTGTTGCTGGCACCACCATCGTCACATTATCCCCAAAGAGAGTGAAGAGTCATTTTTGAGATATCCCCTGTCACTTGCCCCAGTTTCCAAATTGTTGTGGAGTGAACACAAGTGAACGACCACTGGAGTCCAGACCAATTAAAATTTAGGGAGCCTGGCCAGCTGGCCAGCTGACCAGCGACTCCTCTGCCTTTCTCCACGCAGGGAGTCCAGAGGGCAGCAGCGACCCTTTGTGCAGGACCACTTTTAAACCTATAACCACATCCTGTTTTTACAGAACAAGTAATCCAAGACAAAACAGTTTTTCTCAAGCAACTTAAGATTCATGCCATTGATGACTATGTTGTTTACAGGGTCTGTTCTTCAGAAAGCTGACAGTGATCTATGAAAGAAGGCCTACGTGCTGGGAAGGGGCCATGAGACCGTATCTCAAGGCCTGGTCTGGTGTCAGTACTGAAAACTCTATCTGGGGCATAGTCCACAGCCTCAGTAGTGCTTAAAAACTCCCACTCTCTAACACAAATCAGTTGGCAGGTTCTGTTGACAGTCACTGCAGTGGAGACACTGTCTGTCTTTCCTTCTCCTTTCCACCATCACCGCTCTGGTTCAGGCCTGATCATCACTTGGTTACTGCAGGGACTGCTTACTGAGCTGGGCAGGTCCAGGACCACCCCCAGGTCCAGTGATTCACTGGAGGGATTCACAGCACTCAGCATATTCTCATATGCATGGCTAAGGTTTATTGTTTATTGCAGTGAAAGGCTCATAAAGCAAAAACAGCAGATGGTGTGGGCAGGCACATGGGGCAAAGTTCAGATGAAACAAAGGGCAGGCTTCCAAAAGTCTCCTCCCAGTAGCCTCACATCGGATGGTTTTCATCCCTCCAGTAACCATGTGTAACAACACGTGTGAAATGTTATCTGTCAGAGAAGCTCGTAGATACCCAAGGTGTTAACTGGGTGCTGGTCACATAAGCACCCTCTGCCTGGCACATACCAAAACCCCAGACTCCCAGGAGGAAAGCAAATGTTTAGCCTAAGCCACTTTGTATGTACAGACAGCTCGGGCACAGTGAGCCACTCCTGCCAGTCAGGGAGAGTTTGTTATCAGTGCAGGGATCTATTTATCGGTCAAGGTCCAGATGTCAGCCAAGTTCAACCCTGCAGACTGGTCTTCCTAAGGAAAGGCCATCTTGGACCTGCTCCATGAACTCTTTGCTACACATGAGCTCTTATTGTTCACTGCACCAGTCCTTCCTGCTGCCACCAGACTAACCCTGTTCTGAGTCTCTTAGAAACCTTCTTTCCGGTGACTCCATGCTTGCCCTCCACAGTCTTGACTTCTGTGAGTGACACTGAACTTGAGTTCTCATCATACATAAGCCACACTGAACTGCTAGCTTGAGTGCCTTGCACTTCTCTAGCCCTGCCTGGCTCCAGCTTGAAGATGCCTTTCCCACCCACCTGTGTCATCTAGTCCCAGGGTACAGGTACCCAGGGAAGGCAGCCATATGAACTCTAAGGGCTATAGCTCAGGGTCTGGAGACAGACAGTCATGATCTAGGTTCCTGACTCTGCCCTCAAAAGCTCTGAGACTTAAGTTGAATCTCATTAAGCCCCAGGGCCCTCATCTCTAAAATGGGAGTAATAACTCTATGACAATTAAATAAGAGAACACTTATGAATGCCATATCAAGCACCTTACTCAGCTCGGTAAGACATATATATATATTTTTATTATTGCATACTCTCTTACCAGGAACCAGCCATCTTCGTAATTACCACAAGTCTTCCACTGGTTTTACATGATTTTGTTTTCATTTTGTTTTTTAATTAGTTGGATCTACACGAGCGAAAAAGACTTGAATGGGAGTAGCCACTGGGGAATGATCGCAACTTACAGTGGAGCTGGCTATTACCTGGATTTGTCAAGAACAAGAGAGGAAACAGCCACTCAGATTGCTAGTCTCAAGAAAAATGTCTGGCTAGATCGAGGAACCAGGGCAACTTTTATTGACTTTTCAGTGTACAACGCCAACATTAATCTGTTCTGTGTGATCAGGTATGTACCAAGGCCACTCAGCCCTCCCGTTTTCATGGATTTGTAGGTACATCCTAGTCTGGAGATAGGTCAGAAAACTGTTGCCTGAAGTTGGCAAAGTGACAGTGTTAAGTATCTGAGCTGATAGAGAGGGAGGAGTGAAAACTGAAGTCTTATTGGGATAACGAAGTCTTATTGGGAGGGAATAATCTTAAGTCTGGTCCAAGTTCATGCCAACAGCATTGTTTTATTAACATATATTTTTAGCCCTTGTGAGGCTTATTAACGCTCTATGCTCCCTGACCAGGATCCCCAGCCATCAAATCTTGACTCATTTCCCTGAGTTTCCCATTCTCAGATGATACCCCTGCTATTAGAACATGAGCACAATGGTAGGAGCTATTTCTGGGCTCAATAGGATACTCAGGTACTTACTTCTGCTCAAGACTCACCAAAGGCACACAAAGTTCCTTCTATAAATCCTGTGACATTGCAATCATAACTACTTAAGTGGCACTGAGGACGCTGACAAAGATCCCACTCACTTGTCTGGGGCCTCTTGTTCATACATTCATTCAGCGGACATTTATTTAGCATTTAATGTGGTGCCAGGCACTGTTCTAGGCTTTTGGGACACTTCAATGAAGACGATAAAGAGCTTGCATTCAACCTCAAGACAGGTAATAGACAATTAACAATAAACAAAAGAAACAAATAAGTTAAAGCGTATATTAGAAGGTAATACGTACTATAAAAAAGAAAAGTAGAATAGGCAACGGGATTTGGGGTTCACCCACTTTAATCATGCTGGTGAACGACATGCTGCCAGCACCCAAACGCCGCCAACATAAATTACGTGCACGTATATTTACTCACCAAATAAGGATGGATTCTATACTATCCTTATTTTGTTATCATTTTTTAGGCTAAACTCAACTCTGCATTACATGGCCAGTTTGCATTTTCCCCATTCCTTCTGTTTAACAACTTTTTCAGAAAGTAATATCAGAGAAATGAATGAAAATCACAACTTTTATTTCATGTTTTAGTGATTCCATCAAGGATGGGAAGAGGACAGAAATAGGCAGACAGTCTGGTTGACTTTTAAGGAATTACCTATTTAGAGAAAGTCTTGCATATGTCTTTCACTTCCCGTATTTTAGGAGTGAATATTACTTCATTTCCCTTTACTGTTGTCTACATTGTGGGGAGGGGGGGACAGATGTGGGGTGAGACTCGCCTCAGAGGCTACTTCCTGCCCTAATGAATTTGTGCTGAGGCTGTCATGAAGCTCTTCTTTTCAGTATTGCTCTCTTGAGTTTCAAATAGTCAAGAAAAAAGTAGAAGACTACGATCAATTCTAATTTGCTGCCCGTACTGGGTTATTGCTCCTGTGTGAGTCTTGTATGCTCAGGCTCTCCGTGTGCTCACCCATCCTGTAATGGGAGAAGTGGTTATGCCTGATGCTGACTAAAGGTCCTTTAAAAGTCTTAGAATTAAGGAAGTAGCGATCCTGTTTCTAGTGTGATAAAGAGGCTATGCCATTAAGGGAGTCATTTAATTTTCTCCGTGTGACACCTACAAAATGGCAGTTTGGCAGGAAACATCCTCAATTTAATTATGCTTCCCCTAGAGATCAATGTCTTCAGTAGACATGGGGGATATGGGGAGTCAGGCATTCACTGAGCACCTGTTTGCTGTAAGGCAAGCATGTCAAACTCCTGGCCCACAGGCCACATGCTGCCCACAATGAATATTTCTGCAGCCCAGCCAATACAACGGTGTGAGCTGTTACTTAGAATTATGAAAGGAAATAAGTCTCCTGCCAGATCCAGAATTACTGACACTCACCTTGGGTCAGTTTTGGAAGGAATCCCTGCAAACACGATTTCCCCTGAAGTAGGAAAGATATAGCAGAGAAGAGAGGCCAAGTGTCAGGAAGAAAACATTCATTTTATCATGGCTCTTGTTCTCTTCTTTTATACTATACTTTTCAAAATAAACCTACGTTGTTCTTTTGCGGCCCACAGAAACTTAAACCTTGTTTATTTGGCCCGTGTTAGCCTTTGAGTTTGACATGCTTGCTGTAAGGCTTTGGGAAGGGAAGCAAAAAGTACCCCCGGGATAAGTTATTCAGTGCTAGTTAGTGTTACTCAATGAACGAATGGGAAACTCCATCCCTCTTCTTGTATATGAACAAGACATACAATTCTCAGCCCGAACATACATACTTTGAGTGCATGACTTATACTTCTTATGTTCTTCATTGTCTAATATAGGGGTGTCGAACTCAATCAGAGAAGGGGCCAAAATCTAAAATCCAGCCTAAATTGCGGGCCGAATGGTTTACTGAACAGTCATAAACTGTCATTGTGATGGAAACGCAGCGGAGTGCAGTGATGACAGCGCAGTGCGGGCCACATTGCAAGGCCTGGCGGGACGGATTTGGCCCAAGGGCCTTGTGTTTGACACATGTGGATAGAATGACCTGCATTTAATAAAAGGCCTAGAAAGGCTTGTTTGTTATTTAACTTGTACATCACACACAAAAAAAGGTATAGACAGCATTTTCAAAGTGTAAAACTCAGAGAGGTAAAAGGGAGATTGAGGAGGAATAATCTCTTTAAGTCTGAGAGGTCTTGGGAAATCTTTACATTTTATTATATAAAATTCTGCAAGTCTGGAGTCATTGGCTTTGATAAATAAACATTTGCCGCTAGTTCGGGGTGACATGTGATTGCAATTGGATTACCTTCCAGTGCAAGGACAAAATAGATGGATGGACTGTCCCAGGTGCATTCATATGTTATCATTGCTGTCTTAATTGTTCTTATTACACTGCAGGTTATTGGTTGAATTCCCAGCAACAGGCGGTGTGATTCCATCTTGGCAATTTCAGCCTGTGAAGCTGATCCGATATGTCACGACTTTCGATTTCTTCCTGGCAGCCTGTGAGATTATCTTCTGTTTCTTTATCCTCTACTATGTGGTGGAAGAGATATTGGAGATTCGCATCCACAAGCTACACTATTTCAGGAGTTTCTGGAATTGTCTGGATGTTGTGATCGTTGTGGTAGGTTCGAGAACCACACCAAATATCCATCTGCGTGATAAAGACACATTAACGAGAGTTGTCTCCTCAGCGTTGTGCACCTAGATATTCCTGAAGGAGAATCTGAAACCTCCTGCTACATCAACTCCAGTGTTACTCATTCTGTCCTCACTTTGCATGAGTAACCCCTTTGCAATAACCTCTCAGCCACACTAATAACAAAAATAGCAATAATTTATATTTGCCTTTGCCATGCCATGAGATGGGGGGAAGGAAAGTCTTTGGTGATATTGATTCTATTTTTTGCTAATGATCTTTTTCTTCAACTAGTAAAAATTAATAGACATTTTTCTGCACAAATGCAAGAAGAAACAGCCTGACTTAGTTTGGGTCGCAGAGGAAATCTCGCCCCAGTTTATATTTTTCTGCAAGTAGCTTACGGTGTGCAAAATACATTGCCAGCAAGGTTTTCTGTATGAGGTGTAAGAAATCATAAGAGTTAGGACAGAGTCAAGACTTGCCTGCCCATGACTCTATTATAACTTCCTTTTTTAAATATATTTTTTATTTCAGAGGAAGGGAGAGGAAGAGAGAGAAGTTTTAGGAGAATATCAGCAAATCAAGGATCCACATTTTTCTCTCATTGACACAGTCTCCAGGGAATTTCCAATAAACAAATGAGCAGCTGTTCCCTTAGCACAAACACTGTTTCAAGGATCGGAGACTGCTCAGGGTCTTCCAGAGCAGATGATTCCCAAGAATGTTTGACATGAACCTGCACTTTACCCCAAATCAAGATTTCCTTTATTTTCTCAGTGAACTCAGACAGTTTCCTTTTTTCTAATGAAGGTGAGGTGCTATCATTTCTAGAACAATAATTCTTACATGAACATGTAAGAGAAAAGAGAATACAGAAGGCAGGATGAAATGGGAAAAGAAAGGAGTTAGAGATAGGAGAAAGGAAATAAAGCTGACACGGGATCAGATAATATAGCTAATCTCTTTAAAAGAAGGATAATGGCTTTGATTAAAAGGAGATTTATTTTTATTTTTTTATGTTTTGATTTCTGAGAGGAAGGGAGAGTGGGAGAGAAAGATAGAAACATCAAAGATGAAAGAGAATCATTGATCGGCTGCCTCCTGCATGTCCCTACAGGGGATCGAGCCTGCAACCCAGGCATGTACCCTGACCGGGATTTGAACCGTGACCTCCTGGTATGGTCAATATAAAATATGAACATATTTATATTTATGTCGTTGTTGATAATGGTAGAAAGGTACATGTAATTTTATCTAATTAATATCAGTCTCCTTTTTTATTACATTACTCCAATGTCAACAAAAGGGTAGTCAGTGGCATTCAGCCCTTCGTGATTATGTTCATCTGTCACTAAAAACTTTGATAGTGTATTGTAACGTGCTGTAATTATCTATGAAGTGTATGTGTGTGTGTGTGTGTGGACATAAAGGGTACATTTGTAAAAAATACACAATATCAAATTTAAAGATTCTAACAGTTTCTTGTCACCTGCCTTGAAGTTTTAATAATTTCCTCCCAACTTCAGTGAATTGTCTCATCCCCACTTTGGAGACCACTGGAAAAAACAGCTGATGATATCATGGAAATTAAAATGGTTTCTTTGGCTCAGCAGCCACAATGTTTTGCAAGTATTTCTTTGAAAACTTGCTTCACTGTGCTGCTGTTCATATTTTTCCTAACTCTCAGTACTGCCAAGGCGACACTTCAAACAGTGTGCTTTAAAAAATAAAAGGTAGGGCTAGTGGAATCTCACTTCTTCAAACCTTTCCTGACTCAGTGAAAATAAGGCAGACTTTCTGTTATTTCCCCTCCCCTCCACCCTCCACACATGCCCTGTGTTCCATTAGACCTTGAACCCTATGAAAGGAGCCAATGCTTTTTTGTTTGATCTGGCCCAAATTTGCTTGCCCATCTGACTTGAAAAAGTCCAACTGAAACTTGAAATATTTTCTGAATACCTCCTATCCATCTGGTACTGTTCTAGATGTTAGGGACATAGGAATGAGTAAGATAACCGGAACCCCTGCTCTTGTGAAACTTATATTATGGTAAAAAGAGAACACTCTTTTGTAAATAAAGATGAGAATTCCAAAGAATACTCAAGAAAGACATAACAACCCAAATGTTCACAAAATCTTTTTTCTTTCTTTCCCTATTTTGAAGGAAAAGTCTCAGGGGAATTTAGTATGTTGATATGATATTGACATTATATAAATGACGACATGATCCATATGTTTATAAACATTTGTCTTGTACAGAGTGAAACACTGGATGAAGAACACACTGTTTGGAGTGTGTTTGAGTCAGTTAGTCAGCACTTCCCCCAACTTATTTTTCATCCATTTCAGCTAAGTCCAAGGAGAAAAACATTCTCAGTATATCCAGAGAGCTCAAAGAAAATATTCCTCAGTACAGAAATACAAGACTGGTTCTAGAATTCTTTCATAAAGAAGAAAAGGAAGGTGGTGAGATTGGCTTTGCCAATCTTACTGGCTGCCAGGCAGATCTTTGATATGATAATCCCCTGGGACCATGATCTGGTTGACCTCTCAAAAAGGGCTAATGGCCCAGCCAGGGTTGCTCAGTGGTTGAGCATCAATCCATGAACTAGGATGTCATAGTTTGTTTCCTGGTCAGGGCACATGCCCGGGTCATGGGCTTGATCCCCATTGGGGAAGGAGAAAGGGTTCAGAAGGCAACCGATTGATGATTCTCATCATTGATGTTTTTATCCCTCTCACCTTCCTCTCTCTGAAATCAATAAAAACCTATTAAAAAAAAAAAAGAAGAAGAAGAACTAATGAAGTGGTCAATGACCATGATCATCCATGAGAAGAAAGGGAGAATGGGCAGCAAGGGTTACACCACCCGTCACAACCACTTGCCATGGACTCAGACTTCACATGAGAGCAAGGGGTGATGGTTACATCACTAGCACTTCCCACAGGTACATGCCCTCCAGTGATGATGGATGCGAATGTAGGGCCCAGTGTCCCCTCAGATATGGTTTTATAGCCCAGGACCAAGTATGTGTGAAAAGTTGTTGGTCATATGTTAAGGGACAGAAACAAGCCCATGTATTCCCACTGCAAACTTTCTTGAGCCATCTCTGACATCATTCCCTCCCTCTTATAAGGCCATGCTCATTCTTTCCTTAATATTTCTATCACTCTTCACCTTAGGTTGTGTGATGGCAATTCCTGAGTAGGTTTTTGTGTATATATTTGGTCTTGAACTAGAGTATGCGTACTTTGAGGACAGAGTTAGTGCACTTAAATTCTGTTTGTTCATTGGATTTCTGTTCCTAACTAGAGGAGTGCAAGAAGCAATATACTGTGTTGCTGTGCTCAACACTTTCCTGTTATGTGAGTGACATTTGTGAGTGCAATTGGGTGAGAAAAATGTTGGTCCCTAGAATTAATACAACGGCAGAGAGAAATAAACTAGTCGCTGCATCTCTAGAACTAAGGCTAACTGTATATGATGAAATGCCCTAACCTTTCACATACATGGAAATGTACATTTGTTGTCTATTTCTAAAATGCTGTAATAATCGAGAAGTCTTTTGTTTTGCAGCTATCAGTGATGGCTATAGGAATTAACATACACAGAACATCAAGCGTGGAGGTGCTGTTACAGTTCCTGGAAGATCAAAATACCTTCCCCAACTTTGAGCATCTGGCATACTGGCAAATACAGTTCAACAATATAGCTGCGGTCATAGTATTTTTTGTCTGGATTAAGGTAATGTATGAATTTCATGTTCTGGATTTTTAATAACATGTTTCCTTCTTTTTATTAACACGAATCTCACAAAACATTGGATAAATTTGCTTTTGTGGCCAAATTCAAATTGGCAGCCAAAGCTGCTCCATATTTTGAAGTAAACTAATGGGACTCATTTGATCATTCCTCTTGCTGTGAATGATGCTCCCTGCTACCTGAGCTCTTGCAAGACCTGTCCCTGTAAGTTTTAACAGAAGCAATAGAGGCCTTTTCAGTATGGCAGCTGGGCTGGAGTCCAGGCTACTTTAACAGGGACAGGTCACCCGGATATAGATGTGACCAGATGAAGGAAAAGGAACTAAGAGGAACGGAGAGAGGGGGCAGACATACTGATTGGAAATGAATGCCTCTAGAGCGATTGCCTCTTTTCCAGGGAGAGGACATAGGGAAGCTTTACCCAGAATTGAGGTTGGAACAAGCACTTCTGAGCAGTTCCTTAACCTCTCACTTCCTTCTTTTCCCAAGACATAATGTGCATTTCCATGCATGTGAAAGGGTAGGACATTTCATCATATACAATAAGCCTTAGTTCTAGAGATGCCAGAAATTTCTGTCATTGCAGGACAGCTGCCAGCCTCTCACCAGTGCCAATTTAAGTTTAAATTAATCAAAATCATATACAGGTAAACATTCAGTTTCTTGATCACCCTAGTCACATTTTAAAAAATTTATTTTTATTGATTTCAGAGAGGAAGGGAGAAGGAGAAAGAGATAGAAATATCAATGATGAAAGAGAATCATCACTGATAGGCTGCCACCTGCACACCACCCATTGGGGATCAAGCCCACAACCCGAGCATGTGCCCTGACCTGAATCAAACCTGGGAGCCTTCAGTCCATAAGCCAACACTATCCACTGAGCCAAATCAGTCAGGGCGAGCCACATTCTGAAGTGCACGGAGTCTGTATGTGGCTAGTAGCTACTGCATTGGACACTGGAAATAGAAAACATTTTCATCATCACAGAAAGTTTTATTGGGCAGCACTCATAGAGATACTAATAGAGATTGTATTCAATAATGTGTTTACAACAGCCTGATAACATTTTGATGTGGCCAGAAACAGTTTCTAAGAGGTCTTGAAGTAACATTCTGGGTGGCTTAGTTAATGCTTCAGCTGTAAATATCTTGCCCCCAAAGCTTTTAAGAACCATTACATTCTTTCAGGCAGGGTCGTGGCTCAGCTTCTTTGTATCTTCCCAGTGTTCTTCTGTATAGAGCTGTGCAGGTGGCCATGTCCTCTGGGCTGTGAACTGCTCAACCCGGGCAGCCATCCTCACTGCCTTGTCTACAGAAATGCTTTGTATGGCTTTGCAGTCAGACAGAGCTGGGTTCAAATTCTGACCCCAAGCCCCCGCTGACTCCTGAGATAGTCTACCAATGTTTTGGTCACTGTTAAGATTTGAGGTGGTCTACTTAAGCCCTCCCCCACAATGAGCAATAAATGACAGTTAATAATTGAAGTATTTCTTGGAGGTCTCTCTCTCTCTCTCTCTCTCTCTCTCTCTTTCTTTCTTTCTTTCTTTTTTTTTTTTTTTTTAACTAGTTTTTATTTGTGGGAGGTTTTCTCTCTTTTATTTGAAACTTCCTTGAGAGAAAATTACCACTAGTCATTTTAATTACAATTTACTGTATTTTAACCACCAGGTAAGTGTAACTAAAACGAGGAGCTTTGTTCTGTTCACTGCTATACTCCCAGCTCCAAGAATTGTGCCTGGCGCATGGTGGGCAAAATACTTTTTGAATGAGAAAATAGAATTTGCTAGATTTGAAAAAAAAAAAAAAAGCAAATTACTTTTCTTTTAATTCAGATAATATTTTCAGCATTCATTCATGTTGCAACATGTATCAACATTTCATTCATTTGTGAGGCTGAATAATGTTCTGTTGGCTGTACATGCCCATTCATCTGTTCATACCCTTCTTGTCTTTTACAGCTCTTCAAATTCATCAACTTCAACAGGACCATGAGTCAGCTCTCCACAACCATGTCTCGGTGTGCCAAAGACCTCTTTGGTTTCGCAATTATGTTCTTCATTATTTTCTTAGCCTATGCTCAGTTGGCATACCTCGTCTTTGGCACTCAGATTGATGACTTCAGCACTTTCCAAGAGTGTATGTAAGTATATGTGACATTAAGAAGAAAAGTTTAACCAGGGATGTCACTGCCTTCTCAGGGATAAAGGATAAGTCTTCATGGTTGCTGTTTAACCCATAGTTTAAAGGTAGTTATTTAAAATCAGAATTAAATCTCTTTCCCAGAGCATTGACCCACCAATGCAAAGATGACCATACATTCTGAAATGCTGATGCTTGAGGTAACAGCTCATATCATAGTGAGACATTTTAGTTAGAACAGTAGTAAATTAACGCTGTTCCAAGATCAAGGTCTTCTTAGCGCCACATGCAGATGGTAGCTTTTAAGAGACCATTTGCCTATATTTTTATTCCTAGTCAATATTGTTGCCATATGTTTTAAACATCAAGTTATTTTCTTAAGGAAAAAATAGTATTTCTAATATTCTCAGAGAAACTCAGTACAAGAATTTTCTGTCTTTTTCCGAAGTTCTCAAATATGATATTAAAAACAAGAAAAGTAGCCAGTATCAGATTTCCATTCCATTTAGAAAGGAGTCAGGAAAAGAGATGATCATGATAATTGAAGTTAATAAGGCTTTGCACATTGGGGCCCCTCTTTAATGTTGCTGTTTGATAAAAGTCAGGAATGAAAATGATTTTACTAATGAAGACCCAGTTTTGGTAACACATGGCCACTCTGGCCCCCACTTTGAGTGTGTATCAGAATGTTGGATCTTTGAGACATAAAATTTTGGCTCTCCTTCAAAAAAATTTTTTTTTTTTTTTTTTTTTGTTAAGAGATTTTAAATTCAGACCCAGATGGCCATTGTGAAGGTTTAGGGTTACCATGTTTTACCTAAATTATGTATTAAATTCATATAGCCCATTGCCTTATAAATTATCCAATAATAATTATTATATTTTATTAACCAAATTGAAATAATATTTAGCGTGAAAGAATTACTTTTATTCCAGAAGGCTTCAATTGCTCATATAAGTAGCAAGAATATTCCAAAAGGATTGACAGTTTTCTGTTATTTGACAATTATCTACACTGAAAAAAATGCCTGAAATCGTCTTTTAAGAAATATTGCTTCAATGCCGTACATTCTTTGTTTTTGTTTTGTGGTGTTTGTTGTTTTGTTTTGTGTTTATAGCTTCACTCAATTCCGTATCATTTTGGGTGATATCAACTTCGCAGAGATTGAGGAAGCTAATCGAGTTTTGGGACCACTTTATTTCACTACATTTGTATTCTTTATGTTCTTCATTCTTTTGGTATGTATGCTTTTATTTAGAGTGATGTGATTTAAATTTCATAAATCACCATCTTTTCTTTTCTCTACACTCTATTCCCTATCATTTTTTTTTTTTTAATCTCAGGAAGTAGAAAAATGTGGGTATTATAAATCATATTTTATTTTATTTTATTTTATTTTATTTTATTTTATTTGTCTTTGCTTTACAGTTTTAAGTCTTCACCAAATACCTTTTCCATGGATTTTCATTTATCTAACTATAGATAGATAATAATGTCTATTCAAGGAAAAATATAGATCCAGTGCAAATTTATACAGTTACTTAAAATAATGCTTTGCCTAAAAAGTAGACTATACTTCCTCACATGCTTTGTTAACACAAACATCAGCTTTTCGTGGTCATTTGCTAACATGACTTGGCATTTCTCTCTCTCTTCTGTTTAAAAAAGAGGAACTGACTAAGCAAACTAGATCCAGTATGTCAAGAGTAATATTTGAGTGAATCATTGCTTGTCAAGATATTTTACTTTCATTTACTCATATTTAGCATACCTAGAGACTAAATCTAACAATGTATGGAAACTGCTTGAAAAAATATATTCAAAGATATTTGTTTATTCTCTTGATTTGGTACAAATTAACATTCTTGTCATTTTGTCTTAAGCTAATTAGGATTTTTTAAAAGACATTTTGTTCTTCATTTAACATCTGTACATTTATTTGTCTATTCTACTAAGAAAAAATTAAGTTAGTTTAACTTAGGCATTGGGTATTTTTTCGTTTAAACACTTAACATTTAAAGATTCCTCACATCAACCATCATCTTAAGAAAATGAAACTGTTTTTGCTTTAAATGGATTTTATAAAGATTCTTTGTATAAGACTCAGTAATTAAGTGTAATATCTCCAGAGCTGGACCAGGTCCTTAGTGGTTAAGTATATAGTATTTACTGAGTGAGAATTAGACGTATTTTAATAAAACTGAAGAGTCAGGAATATCATGCAAGCTCATTTGTATCTTGCTGTATGCATATACTGCGATTACTTTTTAACTGAGCCTCTTAAGTTTCTCCTTCTTATTATATATTAAAGAGTGAAAAAATAGAGGAAAAAGTAAGCCTTTCTTTCTCTCTAACATTGCTAGTACTTTGAATTCTGGAACATCTGAATCCCTAAATGTCTTCTCAGAAAACAAAACCAGGAGTTGAGAGTTCTGCAGTGACCTATAGTTGACTTCAGGCCACCTAAGTTTTCTTCGTATGTTGGTCAGCCAAGTGAGGGACATGACTGTGGCAAGTAGAAATGCCTCAGCGTGGACTTGCTTGAATGTTGTCCTCCAGTAGACAGCACCTTCTAAATTATTCCATCACTTTATCAGACCGATTGCGAGAACATGACAAGAAACACTTAGTTTTTTTTTTCTTTACACTAAAATAATTTTTTGTATTACTACACACACAAAAATTGCTCTCCCTACCCTGTCCCCAGCCCCCAAACAGAGGGGAGGCTACTGTCAATACAAAACTTTTATTTTTTTATGGGAATGACAAGCTAAGTGCAGTGTTGGCCACCTTTCTGAGATGAAGGCCAGGTGTTGATTTATTGCCCCTGTTAACAAGAAGCCACATTGGTGTGAGGTGGCCCAGCTGAGGCAGAAAGCAAAAGCCCCGTCATCCACAGGGAAAGACTCCAACATCCTTGTGAGACAGGATGGAGAGAAGGGTGAACTTCCTCTTCCCACACCTCCAAAAGCCTTTCTCAGCCACTTCCCAATTTTTTAAATCTCTTCAGAGGATGCACATTTTAATCCACTTCAGCTAATACATTTTTAGGTTTTAGGTAACAGCCATTTGGAAACAAAAATAAAACATCAGATGCCCAGATTGAAAAGGAGAGGTGGGAGATGTTATTCCTACTACAACTGCCTGCCCTTGGAATTGAGCCTTAAGCCAGGAACTTATGTGATTTCTATATCCTATTCTCATTTCTGCTGCAGAATCTTAAACAATATTCCTCCTTAATTCGTAGCAATTTAGTAGCCCATTAAAATCCATTCGAATAATAGTGCTCTCATTTGTTCATTCCTCAATCGTACAATAAATATTTACTGAACCACCGTATTCCAGGCAGTGGTTAGGAAAATAGAGCCCAACCCTGCCATCATGAAGACCCCATAAACTTGTAGGGAAAACAAAAACACTCACACAATTCTATAGTTACAAATCATAGTTACGTGCTAAAAAGGAAAAACAAAGGAAGGACCTAATCAACTGGGTACAGTGTTTCCAGAAAATCTGTTGGAAACAGGTGTTGAAAATATAAGCAAACCATTATACTGGGGAAGGGAAAAGTCAGGAAAATGGATTATTACTGAATAATAATAACTATAAATTACGTAGCACCAGACATTAGGCCCTGTCTCTGGATACTTTACAATAGATTATCTCATTAATCCTTACAACAAATATGTAGAGGAGATAGTATTATTTCTCCCATTTTATTAACATAAATACATTTTAAAATGAAGATTAGAAAATTTGAACAGTCTTAGCAATGCCAAGTTCATAACCCAAGTTTGCTTTACTCCAAAGTCTGCCTTGTCCATTAAGCTTTTCTTGACTATCTTCTTACTACACTTACCATATTCCTATTTGCGAAGATCTTTTTAACTCTTCTATCTTCTGTAAATCTCAAATGATATTATATAGCAATATCTGGCATAAGCATAGAATTTCACTTGTCTATGTGGACTGTTGAAATTTGAAGAGCTGTTTTAGAGTTCTTCACACCAAATAATTTATGTCAAATAAAAAATATAGAGAATATACATAAAGAAAATAATAAAATAATCCCTCCATTCATAGTTAGATACATTAATATTTTGTTGTATTTCATTCTTGTCTCTTTTTTCAAAATACATCACAATATATGGTTTTGTAAGTAAGAAAATGTCACATTTTCTTTTGGCATAACTTCATTGAAGAAATAATTTTCCCAAACAATATGGTAGCAAAACTATTAATTTGTGACTTCTTAAGACAGCAAATTGTTTTCTAAAAATGATGAACAAAATGGCAGTATCAAAGATTGGATTATTTACAAAATACATTTAGGTAGCTATTTAAACCTCAACTTTCCTTTGATTTACAAACAGAATATGTTCTTGGCCATCATCAATGACACTTACTCTGAAGTGAAATCTGATTTGGCTCAACAGAAAGCTGAAATGGAACTCTCAGATCTTATCAGAAAGGTATGATAAGCCCTAATTCTCAGAATTGTTTTGTTTTCTACATAAAATAATCATTGTCTCAGCCATATTTCCAAATCAATATTAATAAGTTGTCATTGTTTAAAATAAAGAGTAGGTTGCTATATTATAGGAATAATTTAAGTGTTTTTGGAGATAGAGATTGATACACTGCTAGCTTGGATTTAAATACTTTAATCCCCCAGAGTTAAATTCTCAATCTGGTTTTGTTCCCTTTGTTTTGAAACCTCCTCTAGTTGGCTCTCACTTTCAGACTCAGAATTCAGAATAAACTGAAAGATTATAAAGACATTTCCACTTTCTAGATCTTAATTACAATTTTAAAAAAGGAAACGTGCCTGTAGTTCATTCTCCCTTTATCCTTGGCCTTCGGAAGAAGTTGTGAAATAGTCCGAGGGGAAGATCCTTGGCGGAAGGCCACAGCCTAAGGGCATGAGAACTTTCAGTTATCCACCCTCTCAGGAAGTGTTTGATTGTTAAATAAAAGGCCCTTAAATAACAGGAACGTTGGGCAGTTTTGTTCTTCTCAATATGACTTCTTGACTTGGTTTAAAGCAACAACAAATGACTGCATCCAAAGTTCACAGCTTGTTACCTAACTTCATTTTGCTCAGAACAGTGGCTCCCCTTCTGTTGGTTTAAGCCATAGGACTATGTTGTCTGTGAATCCTGTTGTAACAGAGAACTTCCCCTTTTTAAAATAGAGTCCAATGGGTGGGACCTAAGATTTTTATTATCCTGAATTTTGCATAACAGGTGATGGTATTTTAGCAAATCTCTTGGATTTATGCAAGCAGTGCTCACTTTGCATGTTTGTTCTGATATGCATAAACACCAATTACTTTGGTTAAATAACACCAACCTCTCAACACAGTTCAATTTTCATTTATCACAGCATATTGACTAAGAACATAATGTATAAACTTCACTTGCAGTTATCACAGTATAATAATTGTGAGTAATGGTATAAAGTGCAAACTTCACTACAGATGGTTGCGTAAATAACAGATGTGCAGTCTGGTCAGTGACCAAATACCTCACTTTTCGCCAAGTCTCGGTTCAGTCGCTGAGGGTCTGCTATTCAGTTCACTCACAAAACATGTAGTTGTGTTGCTTCCTTATCTTCCAGTGATAAATCATGTGACCTTTTATGAAAAGAGAACAATTGAAAGAGAGAATGAGCCAGCAAAGATGAAAGTATAGCAGAGAGAGGAAGAATGATAATACTAGACATGAAAATCAAAACAAGTGCAACGGTTTATAGAAGAAACAAGTAGCTGGCCGTGGGATTCTCACTGCTACCATTTGAGAGATGCAGCGGAAATAACTTAGTGAAGGCAAATTTATCAGCGTAAATGAGAAAAGTGATTGCGACATAAGGAATGAAAATGTCTCAGAGGAAGTGGCACTGGAAAAAACAAACAACAAAAAACAAAACAAAACAAAACTTCCCATTAAAGAAACTTTTGCCAGTATTTTACAACATTAAAAGTGCCAAGGATAAAATATTGGTAACTGGCCCATATTAAGAAAGGATTGTGGTAACTCGCCAAGACATAGAGAAGATGCTCACTTCATACTGGTTATACAAGAAGACGACGAGCAGTGTTCACAATGCACTGAATCTGCTCCCTCTTCCCACAAAGAGAAAGAGCTGCACTACATACCCTGCCATGGACATAATGGATCCAGTCACTTCTGAGTTTGCCTCAGAGAGTTTAACTATCCATCAACCACATTCCTGAGCTCACAAACCATTAGACCAACTGGGATCCTTTCACTATTGAAAATCACTACAATAACAACAGCAGTAATAATAATACTTTTCCATTCTTATAATAAACACTGTGGTAGAGGAACAAATTTTCTGAATCTTCTGCCTAGTCTAGTAATCAAATAGACAAGCATAGATAACGAGAGAAAATAACCAAATTTAATATATACATACGTACGGGAACCCCATATACATGAGAGAGTCAGAGACCCCCACATGCAGGAGATGTTCAGAGATAGAAAGGTAACTTAGGTCTGATCAAATAATTGAATCTATACCGTATCCCTCCCCTGGGAACTGACCTTTAGACCACTTCATAACCGACATACCTTTTTGCTTAGACCACATTCCATTTGCTGAGACCATTATCTTTCTCCTCCGGACTTGCCCAGGACCCGGACTGCCCAGAAAATTCCCGCCTAAAAACCCTGCCTTTAAAACCTCTGACTGTCCAGTCTCTGGCTGCTGGTGCCATTTGGGGACTCAGCCCATCTGATCTCCAGATGACCTAATACATGTATAATCCCCGACCACTTTGGCCTCGTGTATTCCTTCTCCGGTGACTCTAACAGGAACATGGGTGCAAAATACATTCTGAAAGCTGAATCCAAAGAGGTATGTGGTAGGCAGTGGGAATGGCACCAGGTGTTAGATCTGTGGGGTCAGACTGGATCTGAGTTCAGCAACCTCAGTACTTGAGTTCTGGCTAGGGAAGAATTCAGAGCCAAGACTCAAACAACAAGACTATATTTATTTATAAAATCAAAGAGGTGGAAGAAGTAATTCATAGAAGAAACGGGCTTAGAAAACAAGTTATAAAGGTGAAGGAAGGGCCCTTGGAGCTTGGGAATAGAGAAGGTAAGGGTAAAGAGCCTGGGGTGGGGGAGTGGAAGAGAAAGGCGCAGGCCTGCTATCAGGAGGGAGCCTCTGGGTCCTCAGCTGTAAGGGTGGAGATTTTAGGGGAGGTCCCAGGGGAAGATCTTAATAGAATGTTCAGCAGCTTTCCAGGTGTGTCCTTTCAGTCTCCACTGAGGGATTAGTCAGTGTCAGCACAGGGGTGACTAGTCAGAGCAGCTGGTTCGGAGGTCAGCCACAGGGTCAGTGGTCTGGTTTTGCTGCTATTCTGAGCTTGGGGCTGAAATACCACTGAGGCCTCGATGTTATCTCTGGGGAGGAAAAGTCAGCGGGTCCAAGCAATATGCTTGACCAATGGTATGCTAGGAGTGGAAAGGTCACCCTGGGGGCAAGGTTCCACCCTACAGTTGTCCTTTGCCAGGCACCTGGGGCCTTCCACTCAGGTGACTTTCTGTCCCTGGCCCATTGTCCTTGCTCTGCTCAAGTCTGTCTAAAGTGCCTTAAGAGCCTCAAAGGGTCATTGCAGGAAGAGTAGATGTTTAGTAAATACAAGTTTGTTCTGCCCTATAGATTGGTCAAAAGGTATCTCTAATAATTATTCATTATCTCAAATAATTGCTCATTATGGGCAAGGCCCCTAATTAAGGTTCTTCTAGGTAATTAAGGAAGGGGTAGACGTTTCTCTTGTGACTCATTCTGAACCCTCATAGTCTTCTTCTCTGAAACTTCCCTGGATAGTTCACACTCCAGAAGTTGGGTTGGTAGGTGGTTCTGCGTCTCATTAAGCCAGCCTCCATCTTGAGAAAAGCTCAGTTCAGGGAAACAGCCCTGTCTCATTTCCGGAGGCGGTGATGCAGGTGGGCTCCCAAAGTGAAGCCCGTGGCACAAGCAGTCAATTGTTTCATAAGAGACATCTCTATGGAAACAAAGAAAAAAAACACGCACCAACAAATGTCAATGATGCGAGCGGACTATAATCCCAGTTTCTGAGTCTGTAGGCAGGCAGCCAAGAAGATTTCTAGCTGTCTGCCTCCAGTCATCCTCAGATGGAGTGAAGACAGGCACTTATAATCTGATAGATTCTCTGGTCTGCAGTCTGAATGTCTCTGGCGATCTCTTTACAATGGGCATGGAGATTGTCTAGACATGAGCTGCCTTGGTGATATCTCCGAAGTTTACTTCACGTTGTCCCACGTTAGCCTGCGTGGTGTTGGAAAAGGGCAGTTTTCATTCTCAATACTTACAAGTTTAAGGGTGAGAAAATGAAAATGATAGTTTGGAGGATTGCAGCAAAGTATTTAAGAAAGCTGATAACATTCTGTCGCCAGTCCTCCAACAAAGAAAACTAGAAAAATTCCAGATCCAACCCAGTTTGGGTAGAACAATTTAAAAACTCAGAAGTCATTGAGCAGTGAGTGGGGTGGTGAGCACACAATACAATATGCAGATAATGTATTATAGAATTGTGCGCCTGAAACCTGTATCATTTCAACCATTGTCACCCCAGAATATTCAATTTTTAAAAAGTCAATGAGGCGCGCCTTGCTGCTGCTAAGACGGCGGCTGAGCACCCGGAGCCTCCCAAAGGAGAGCTGCAGCCGCCGCCACCGCCACGTCCTGATCACTATGGCGCCTGGGCTGCCCAGGAGCTTCAGGCCAAACTGGCAGAGATCGCAGCTCTGATCCGAGCAGGGAGTCGGGAGGAGCTGGTGGAACGGCTAGAGAGCTATACCGGCCAGACTGGTATTGTACTGAATCGCCGGTTCTAAGAGGGTGGAGATGGGGACAAAGCAGCTCCCCCTCCCATGTCAGCACAGCTCACTGGGATTCTGATGCCGCCACCACCCATGGGCCTACCCCCTCTGCAGCTTCCTCCACCACCTCCACCTGGCCTTGGCCTTGTTTTTCCTGTGGCAGTTAGACCCCACCCACCAAACTTGGGGCCCCGCAGCCTCTCGGTGTGGGTGAGCCTGTGGCGTTGTCAGAGGAGGAGTGGCTGAAGCCGTTGCAGAGGCAGGCAGCTTTGTTGGTGCAGCAAGAGGAGCGCGGCAAGCAGCAGGGAGGTCATTCACTGAAGGAACCATGAGCTCTTGGTGCAGCAGAAGCAGGCAGCTGTGCTACTGGAGCAGGAACAGCAGCAGGAGATTGCCAAGACAGGCAGCCCAGTGCCTCAACCCCCACAAGACATGGACCAAATGGGCATTCCCACTCCTCTGGGTCCTCAAGTTGCTGCTCCAGTGGGCCCCACTCCTGCTGTTTTGCCAATGGGGGCCCCGGTTCCCTGGCCTCGTGGTCCCCCAGCAACCCTTGGAGATGAGAACAGAGAGATGAATGACCCCTCGGTGGGCCCCAA